AATTATTTCATTAGGATTGGTGTTATCCCAGTGTTTTTTCTCATTTACTTTTTCCTCTAGGACATAATGCTTGCCCAACTTCACAGTTGAGTAAGGGATTGGAATCTGACAGTAGTTCTAATTCTGAGCTAAAATGTACTCTCTTCATTTCCTTGCTGGTGATGGGCAATATGGACAGCTTCATTTGCTTGAGGCTTTTTTATTAATTCCTTTTCCTGAGTCACAGTTTTAACTTCTATCTTTGTTTTAGCACTATGCTTAGTAATAAAGAGTGGTTGCTACATATACTTCTGCTAAATGTGGTGTTATGGCAGATAACATAAAAAGTAGGAATACAAGTGAGTAAAATGCTTATGAATGCAGGAAACCACCAATCACTTGCCTTGGGAAACAGAAGCCAGCCAGAACTTAGAACTAGCAAATAGGACAGTTACCCAGAATAAACCTTTGGAAGTTGTGGTTATATGTCTTTGTGCCCCAAAACACTTCCTGACCTCTGTTGTCAACTTAGCTAGGAACCTTGAAACTTTCTGGGAAGCCCACTCGGTAAATTGAGGGCCTCCCAGAAGTGCCAGTTATATCTTTGTTCCATACCTTTTGGGCAACCTGCAGTTAATGGCAAAGCTCGTTCTGTCCCTGAATGCTGTCTTTCTGTTGCCCTGTCTCCCACACTAGAAATCCATTAGTTTTCTGTCAGTGTGAAGGTGGAGGCGTGGAAAGTTATTTGTGAAATTAAAAAAAAAAAGGGGGGGGGTTCTAATCTGAGTACCACTGCATTGCCCCTGCCCCAACAAATAAATAATTAAGCATTTTTTCTTCAGTGTTTTATCATGTATTACTGTTTTATAGAGTCTGAGCTGGCTTCATGTTAGAGTTTGAATATCTTGAGTACTGCTGGCTTTATTGTGATGAATGCTAGAATGCTAAGAGGTATGTGAAAAGACTTATCCCTTTCTCATGGGAAGGCTGGGGAGATCAGGTATACCTGCCCTCAAACAGCTGGTTCTTGCTTGTTTCTCTTGCTTGTTTCCAAGGTTGTTTAAACAGTAAAATGGGAATGCAACAATGTTCCAAATAAAGTTCTTTGACACTAAAAGGTGATTTCCAGCCTTGAGTTACATAATAAACATTTGGAGAAATAGTCTGATGTTGACCTTTGAGGGGGGGCTACAGTGTTATGAGATAGTGGTTATTTGGAAGGCGTTCTTGCTGACTAATTGAAGTCACGTTTGAGGAACTACTGTATGAGAATAGGGAGAGCATAAAGAAGTACAAAATGGAGTTTTTGGAGATTCTAATGCAATAGTTCTGCTCTGTCTGCACAACTGTATTTATTTATAGTAAGTTAGGTGGGCAATTCTGATACACTGCTGAGATTTAGAACTTGTTTAGATGTGAGCGGCAGGAGTGAAGGCGGTGGGGTGAAGGGAGAGGAGCAGATCTGAGGCTGTGCAGGTTCCTCAGGCTGAGGAGCAGGTGGCAGTGAGAACCAGCAGCCATTGGGACTTGGCATGGAGATGTGGGAATCTGAAGGGAAGAAAAGCAGTGAGATGGGTTTGACGAAGGGAATGGTAGTTCTATTGAAAAAAATAGTGATTGGGATGTTAAGAAAAGGAACTTAATTATAAGATTTTTTGGCTGTTATGACTAAGGAATATCACAGATATTTCTCATAATTATTTGGAGAAAATTGGAAAGATTTCCCATCGGGTGTAGTTTAAAGGGGTGGGGAACGTAAGGTGGTTAAAGGGAGGACAGCAGGAGTCAAACTATATGCACCAACTTGACATGTATGACGTAGCTTCTCAGGCACTTGGAGATCTTCGAGTTGGGAGGTTTCCTGTGTGTGAGGCTGTGAGCTAATTTCCGGAGTTCAGAAAGCTTAATGGAGGTCACATGTTTACCCATTTTTAAGGATGTGCAAATGAAAGCTCCTTTATTTTTGGCTGGAATCATATCAATTCAGAGTGTAAATACTACTTGATCTTCCTTATTAAATACTTTGCTATTATCCTTTTTGATTTTATTCAACAGTGAAAATGAGCTTATTTAATATATGCAGATTAGAAACATGGAGCTTATGAAAGGAAAGAGTAAATAAAAAGAGGGATATAGTTAAAAGGTTGATAGAGAATCTTTTTACTGCATGATTTTATTTCTTTATCCATTTACTAGGAATTGATGTCTTCAGCTTTGTTACATAGAAATACGATTTGTGTTTTAGTGCTTAGTTCTCAGTTGAATAAATAAATAAAAACTCCACAATGACTGCTACCGCCCGTGCCAAATAGTCTCACTTTCTCGTTGACTATTGCTTCTGAGTTTTTCATTCCTGTTTTACTTTGATGGTTAAGAACTTGAAGTAGTATTAAAAGCATTTCTGGACATACTTTTTTTTTACCACTATTTCCCCAACTTATTAAAAAAAATTTTAACCCCAGCTGGTGTGGCTCAGTGGATTGAATGCTGGCCTACAAACCAGAGGGTCACTGGTTCGATTCCCACTCAGGGCACATGCCTGGGTTGCAGGCCAGGTCCCCAGTAGGGGGCATGTGAGGGGCACCACACATTGATGTTTCCTTCTCTCTCTTTCTCCCTCCCTTCCCCCTCTCTAAAAATAAATACATAAAATCTTTAAAAAAATTAAAAATATACATATTTATTGATTTTAGAGAGAGAAGGAGGGAAGGAGGGAGACAGACAGACAGACAGACATGGATTAGTTGCTTGCCACTTACGCCAGGAATCAAACCCCCAACCTTTTGTTGTACGGGATGACATTCCAACAACTGAGCTACCTGGCCAGAGTTGTTTCGCCAACTTTTAGAACAGTGCTTGGTGTTGCATAAATGCTTGTTAAATGAAGTAAGAAAATACTGCATGTAAACAGTAAAGTTGAAGTAAATTTTAAGATAATAAGGGGGTTAAAAGAATAATTATGCTTTGAGGCTTAGCCTCAGAGGAGATTATTAGCAATACCTGGAACATAGATAATACTTTACCTATCCATAAAGGTGTGTTGCTTTGTTTTAGTAGCTATTTTACATTCAGCTTTCCCAATTGTGCAAAATGTTACCCTATATTATCTTGGTGTTTTGTACTTTGTTACTAAATAAAATTGTTTTGACCATAAGTAGTGGTAGGAAGTGGGTTGCAGTGACAGTGAGATTGCTGAGACACCAGGGGAAGTAGAGAGCCCTAGGACTCTTCTCACTGGCGCTTGTCCCACGTTGTCTAGGAGTTACTGATTAAATTAGGGTAGTTTATGACTTTGTTACCTGATGGTTTTAAGTCCCCTAAGGAATAAAGCCAGGCAAGGTAGCAGACATACGTGTGAGAGTTGTGTGTGTATGTTACTGGAAAACGGTGCTGCTTGAAGAGTGGCATTACATTCTCAGAGTATCTTTGCAGGCACTCAAGAGGAAAGTGTGGGAGATTATAAAATAGAAAATCTCTGGTCTTAATCCAAACCCCAGTATTTACCCAGCTCTCTCTATCTCACATTTAGTAACCCGAGATAGTTTCAGATGGAACAATTTTACAGATATTTATGGAGTGCCTGCAACATGCCAGACTCTTCTAAGTACTAGACCTGCACCAGTGAGCAAAATACACAGTCCCTGTTCTCGTGGCACTTACTTTTTAAATGGGGTAAATAGAGAATAACAAATATATACTATATCAGGCAGTAGAAGATGCTTATTTCAGATATCTCTTGCTGTGTAACAAACTAGCCCAAAATTTCTGGCTTAAAACAGTGACTTTATTGTGTTTTACAATTCTGTGGGTTGAGAAGGGTTCATCTGCATGGTTCTTCAACTGGCCTCACCTGGGACCCCTCATTGGCAGATGGGTCTGGAACCCTTGACATGGCTTCACTCACCACACGTTCTGGTTGGTGGTGGTTTGGCGGCTCAGCCGAGGCATTCGCCTTTTTTCCCTTGGCCTCTCTGTATGGCTTGGGCTTCTCACAGTGTAGTGGCTGGGTTCCAAGAGGGAGTGTTCAAGTGTGCAAAGGCAGAAACTGCAGCTTTTTAAGGCACATCCTCAGAAATTGTCACTTTGACCACATTTTATTGGTCAAAACAGGTCACTGGGAGAAAAAATAGACTCACCTTTTGATGGGTGGTGATGATAAGATCACACTGCAAAAGAGTACATGAAGTAGGAGATAATGTTGTGGCCACCTATGAAAAGAATCTACCACAGTGCTATTAAAAAATTAAAAATTAAGTAGGTTAACAGGAATAGTGGAAATGGGGGTGAGAAAGTACAGTTTTTTTGTAGGAGGTCAAGGAAGACCTCTTGATAAGGCAGCATGAGAGGGAGAGCCATAGAACCATAAAGATGTTTTAGGGAATATTCCAGGCAAGAAATACAGAAGAAGCCCTGAGGTAGGAGAGTTCCTAGTGTGTGCGATCAAGGAACAGCAAGGAGGGCAGTGTGACTGGAGCGGCGGGGCAGAGGGAGTGCATCAGGGCGTGGAGTCCCAGGGCAGGTGAGAAACAGATTTTGTAGCTCATGACAAAGGACTTGGATCTTCTGTGAGATGGGAGTCTACTGGGGGATTTTGGTCAGAGGAGTTAAGTGATCTTACTTAAATTTTAAAAGAATCTCATTCTGAGAATCTCTGGTTACTGTTTTGAGAATAGACTGTAAGGGGGTAAGAGTAGAACTAAGAAGTCAAGTCAGTAGGGTAGTGCCCAGTGGTGACATGCTCAGCAGTAAGGAATGGTCGGGGGTTGGATATGTATGTCAAGGTGGGACTGACAGGATGTGCCGATGACGGTGGATGTGGAGTGAGAAAGAGGGACCAAGGATGATTCTCAAAGATTTTGCCCTGGAAAATTGGAATTTTCATTTATCAAGATGGGAAGACTGGGGGAGGAGCAGGGTGGAGGTGAGGGAGACACAAGACGTGTATTTTTGGCCATGCTAAGAAGAATCTAAGAAGACATCTGGGGGGGAAAAGGTTACTAAATGTTACTTCCTCATTGCAGGTGTGACGTTGAGTGCTTCAGATCTGGTCACTATGGTACGAGAACGAAAATGCATATTGTGCCACATTGTGTACAGCTCAAAAAAGGTAATAATAGAAGAGGGAGACCCTGAGGCTTTATGACTGGTCGTTTTTTTAGAGACACTGTATGAAATTTGTAGATGGGTAAAAGCTTTCAATGTTGTCTATTTTGCTTCCTTCTTAAACCATAGTCTTATTCCACTGGTTTCTTTCTAAGTATGCCTCATAAAGCCAGTAATTATATTATTAAACCTCTACCTGGAATTTGAGGATACTCAGAAGTAGATAATAAAGAGAAATTTACCTAATGGCCAATTATAGAGAAAATACCTTAAAGTGTAGGTAATTTGAGCTTATACTACTTTCTAATTAGCTAAGGATAGGTAAGGAGTACAGCATTATTTGCACCTGCGCTTTGTTTCTGCCTGTGTGCTCCAAGTGCCACACAGAAGTGGTATTAATAATACCCTAGATGTCCACAAGGTGGGGATGTTGCACAACAAAAAACAGGCATTTTCTGGTTTGTTTTAATTCTTATTTATTTTTTCGAGACAGGGGAAGGGAGGGAGAAAGAGAAGGGGAGAAGCATCAATATGTGGTTGCCTTTCATGTGGCCCCCACTGGGGACCTGGCCTGCAACTCAGGCTTGTGCCCTGACTGGGAATTGAATCCAGTGACCCTTTGGTTCTCAGTCTTTGCTCAATCCACTGAGCTACATCAGCCAGGACGAAAACCAGGCATTTTTAAGACAAAAAGAAATTACCTGTGCCTTAGGGAAACTGGCTGCAAGTTGTCTCACTTTTTTGCTTTTTCTTGCCTTTATCCTTTGCTTTCAAAGTAGTGCTGATAGCTTAAATATTGAGGAATTTTTTTCTTTATGCTTTTAAGGTGTTCTTTATTGTCATTTGAAATTCAGAGAACTGGGAAGATTATTGTGGGCTTTCATGAAATATGTTTGGTAATAAGATGGTTTAAAAGTACTGGAGAAGAGATATTTTAGGTGGGAGAACATCATGTGCGAAGATACAAAGGTAGAATAGTATGTAACAGTTCTAGAGTCAGTATGAAGGCTCATCTGATTAAAACAGTTTCACCTGGGGAGTAATAGTGAGACTGCAATTTAATTTGTAATTTTTTTAAAGATTTTATTTATTTAGTTTTAGAGAGGGGGAAGGGAGAGACAATGAGAGGGAGAGAAACATCAGTGTGTGATTGCCCTTCATACGCTGCCCACCAGGGACCTGGCCTGCAACCCAGGCATGTGCCCTGACTGGGAATCGAACCAGCAACCCTTTGTTTGACAGTCTGGTGCTCAATCCATCTAGCCACACCAGTCACAGCTAATTTGTAACTTAAGTGAAGACGGTTGATAAACAGCATTGAATGTAAGACTGAGGGGTTTGAATATGATCCACCCAGTAGGCTGGGGTGAAGTTTTTTTTCCTGTATAGGATTTCGGTTAGTGATGGAAAAATTCGGTTAGATTTTAAAATGCTTAATAATATGCTTTCTGCTTTTACAAAAGAAAAAACAAACAAATAACTGCTCTTTTAAAAAATTTAGACTAGGTTTTATACAAGTTGTTTTTTTTAATGATCATTATGGCCTCAGTTTAGAGCAAGGCTCAACAAACATTTTCTTTAAAGGGCCCAATGGGTTTATTTTATTTTTTTACCCTCACCCAAGGACGTGCTTATTAATTTTAGAGCAAGGGGAAGGGAGGGAGAGAAACATTGATATGAGAGAGAAACATTGATTGATTGCCTTTTGAACACACCCTGACTGAGGACCAGAACTGCAGCCCAGGCTTGTGCCCTGATCAAGAATCAAACCTACAACCTTTAGGATTACGGGATGATGCTTTAACCAACTAAGCCACACTGGCCAGGGCTATGCAAATTTTGAACAAACGAAAATTCCTTATAGCTACTTGCATATTGGAGGGATGGGCAATTGAGAAGGTGTGAAATGTACAGACAGACACTCCATGGTATGGACTCAGACTTTGATGGCATAGTAGCCCTATCTTGTGATACTAATTTTGCCATTTTAAGTCCTTCCGACATTTCTTCTACTCTGGTTTGAAATATGTTTTCATTTCTTCATACTTTTCCACTACTACCTTTGGGAAAGCCAACTGTTGTCTTTAAGCAAGGGAATACATGATTTAAGTGTTAAGATTAATGTGGTCTGAGAAACTGGCAGATTGGGTTAATTGAAAGAGGTAATGCTGATAATTATTTTTAGAGAGAACAGGAACAACATGTGTTGAAGCAGTGTTCTCTCCTCTAGTTTCCCAAACTAGCATAACCGTGGTTTTTCCACATGCACTTTGGAGGAGAAAAGGATCTTAGGGTGACTTAAGTATGGGCTGTCTACTACATCCCTGAGTATCCTGATGGTTGTTAACTTATGAAAGACTGGGAGGCGCTGGAGTTAAAATATTTTAATATTATTCATTGTTTTTTCAGGTTTGTTCAACCATCAAATTCTTTATTCCCCCTTCCTCCCCCTTTTTTAAAAAACTGCACAATACTGATTAACAGAAAAGGCACTAAGTAGAAGCTTGGTGACCCAGCAGGTGTGCATCTGCTACTTTAGTCCTGTGCCTGTGGGTCTTCGCCAGGGACTGCGCGAGCTCAGTTGTGTGTCCATCTGCATTCATTCCTTGGAGCAAGATGGGAGAGAATTTCATCTGCAAATTTAGGGAAAGATTTGGGAAATGTTTTAGACAAACAAAAGTCACCGCAAAACTAGTTTTGAATGATAACATTTTTATAATCAAAATAGAATGTAGAATTGGTTTTATATCAGAGAATAACTCATTTCGCTGAACACTGTTTGGGTCAGGAATGGTTTCATGGCAAGAAACAGAACCCACTTAATTTCAGTTTAAGAAAAAGGATTTGGCATAAGCCAGTCTAATCCAAGGAAGAACGGAACACTCGATAAGGATTTGGGCAGGTGTGCACTGTGCATGGATTTTTTTTTTTTTTTTCATTTTATATTATGTCACTAACTTGACTCAGTGTTCCATTCCAACTGTTCATTCCAGTTAGTGGCTCATCAGTTGTGGTTAGAAGGGGTCACATGGAAAGCTGTCCCCTCCAAATGTAGCATTTGTGGGGATAAGAAGGAAGTGATGGTCATCTTCAGAAAATTGCCATTTAAGGGAGAGTTTTGAAAATCAGCCCCATTTGTCACATCATAGTAGATAATTGAATTAAGGCTAGGCTGTTAGGTTGTATGCTTTTTGACAAACAAGCTATATATAGCGAAAAATCTCAAGGCACAATGTAGCGTGGTGTTTGAAACATTGGCTTTGGTGTCAAACCTTCCAGAATGTGACCTAGTTTGGCCACTTGATTACCTGTGACTCTGAGAGGGCAAAACTGGGATTTTCACACTGCTTCAGTAATAATAATAAGCTCTGTACTTGATAATCAGCCCTTGGTAAATGTTTAGTGAACAAATAAGTTAGTTTCTCGGCATGCTTGTGTCCTTACGAAGTTAACGATCCTCCCTCAGCAGTGTTTTGCAGTTCAAGTGAGAAAATATTTGATGCACTTAAAGCACAGGACACAGTTAATAGTAATTCTTAACAATTATAGAAGCCCTTTTATTATGTATGTTAGTAAATGGAACCTAATCAACAAAACAAACAAGCAAGCAAAATACAACCACAGACACTGAAATAAAGAACAAACAGGCAGTTACCAGACAGGGACGGGGGAGGGGGTAATAGAGGGGGGCCAACAAGGAACATGTATGAAGGACCCATGGACAAAGCCAAAGCGGGTGGGTTCGAGGGTGGGAGGCAGGCTGGGTGGGGCTGGGGGGCGTGGTGGGGTGAAAATGGAGACAATTGCACTTGAACAACAATTTTTAAAAGCCATTCTCTAATTGTGGCATGCTGGCTATATGTACTTGGGCATGACAAAGGGATGGACATTTACAGCTTTTTGAGTTTTTTGAGGTACATGCATATATGTGTGCATGTTTTAAAGTGGAAGTTCTCCCCAAAGATTTGATTTTCTTCCCATGAAGGGGGCAGGGAAAATGGAGGTAGGGGAGAAACCTAGCAAATTTTTAAACTTTTCATCAGAACCAAATAAATCAATTGGGGGCAGCAGGCAGTGAAGATGAAGGCATGATTGAGCTGCTGTATTCAAAGTAGTTTTTAAAAACTTCATGACCAGCCATAGAGAAAAGTTCTGTTATATCCACAAGTTCAGTCTAGAATTGGTGTGTGTATCTGTTCATTCAGTGGGTATTAACACTATATGCCAGGCCCTGGCCAAGATACCAGTATGAATTGTACCTTACTTTTGAGAAACTCTCAGTTCAGTGGGAAAAGAGAGAGTATGTAGAAAAGCAGTTAAATAGTTGAGAAGTTAAGTGGTTTCAGAGATTTTTGTTTTTATTTTTAAATAAACGAGTAAATTCCTTATATTGGAGTAGACTTTAGCCCGCATAATTTATTCTTAAAGCTTTTGCCTTCTAAAAACAATATACCTTCTAACCTTTTTAGAAAGCCACTTAAATAGGTCTTTCTTAAAAATTCCTTTATTTAAAAATGAAATACATCAGTAACATAGCTAAAGAGTTACTTACTACAGAACTGATTACAGTGTTGAATTGAGAAGAGAAACCACAACAAACACCTTTGACACCGAAAGCTTGTGCCCCAGTTGTTGGTTGCACGGGAACAGAGGAGTGTTTTCCCCCAGAGCAATCCCCTTAGCTTAATCTGCTTTCTTTAATTTTGAAGGAGATGGACGAACACATGCGGAGCATGTTGCATCACAGGGAACTTGAGAACCTGAAGGGCAGGTATGGGAACGGCTGTCTTCCGTGAACCTGTGTATGTGGGGATCTGAGTGCTGATGAGACCTGTCAGCTCATTTTACAGTAACCTTTCACAAATGAATATTGTCTTGTGGCATAGAACTGTCTTTGACAATTAATAACAAGTACAACAGATTCTGTCATTCATAAAGAATAAATCCTTGTGCATCTCAAATGTGCAGAATTCACAAAGCCTCTAATCAGTAGATTACAACAAAGGTCTATTGGGATGAGCTAGTTCTCTCATTAACAAGCTTTGTCATTCCTCCTGCCAGCCCTGCAACTAAGACATTATATTATTGCCTCAGCTGTGTTACAAATGGTTGCATGCAATAAACCTTTAGTGTTGTTAGAGTAATCTGAGAAATCCTAAATCCACTGAATAGCACTGACTCTCCAGCATAAATTCTAAAGTACAAACCATGAGTATTTAAGAATGCTGTTATGTAGTATAAGGCTTGAGATGTTTAAGGAAAGAAAATATAATAAGCACCTTTAAAAAACTGAATATAGCATATGTGTATATTCGGTGTCATTTTCCCCACGATTTATGGTTCCTTTTTTGATGTTTTGATTTCTATGAATTTGAAATTTGGAGACAACATGAAACAGAAACACTAGGAAACAGAGAAATACTAATTAATATCTTGTTCTATGCATAATAGTTACAAACTTTGATCAGGGTGTCAGCCTGAGTCATTTGGAGTTATATATTTTAAGTAATACAGTTTTGGATTGTGTGGGCTTATTAATGTTATTAAACTTTCAGTAGGTGTTTAGCATATTAGTGGAATTTTCCCATGGTCTCAGTCCCTTACTGTGTGAACATTAGGCCTTTGCGGCAACGTGAAAGAATCTTTCACTCAGATTTAGCGTGAAGGGCCTTTGTGATACCTTCCATATACTCATATATCACCTTAAACTCATTATCATTGGAAACCTGTGAAATACAGTCAGACTCTGACTATATGTGGAATATCTTAATTGCTTAATCCCATTTCCAACAAACTTCCTTCTGGAATCTTCTGGGCTGTTTGCTTGCTACCTGACTATATTGTAAAGTAAAACAAATGAGGTCAGTAAATCTAGTCATTAGGAGAGAAGCCTGTTTTATTTGAAGACTAAAGCCTATTGTATTCAAAGATCACTAATCAGCTATTTAAAACATTTAAAAAACAAATTTTGTTTACCTAGGATTTTTGTCAGAGTCAATACAGAATCATAAAAAGTAAAGAAAGTCACCCAACTGCTGCCCTCCCAGACCCCACTCCCAACTCCTGCTCCCCTTTTGGAGGAAAGTCCACAGTTTGGTGTTTATCCTATCTTAACCTCCTTCTCTGTGCTTGTATAGATTTATATTCAGCTACACACACACACACACATATTTTGTCTTTTTTTAAGATTTTATTTATTTATTTTTAGAGGCGGGGAGGGAGAGGTAGAGAAACATCATTGTGTGGTTTCCTCTCATACACCTCCCACTGGGGACCTGGCCCATAACCCAGGCATATGCCCTGATTGGGAATCGAACCAACGACCCTTTGGTTCGCAGGCCAGCACTCAATCCGCTGAGCCATACCAGCCAGAGCACATTTTGTCTTATTAACGTAACTGAACCACATGCTACGTGTGTATGACTCTGTGTAACTTGTTTTCCCTCTCCTTCCACCCATCACCTTAATTGTGCCATGCAGATTTTCTACCATTTTCAATTATTTGGAGCATAGTCAAATAGTTAAAGAGAAGGCATTAGAAGCCTCTGGGCTGACAATATAAATGTCAGTGTTAACACCCAAATTCCTTTTATTTAGAGGAGAGCATTTTAGTTCTTAGTTACTCATTTTTTTAGATACAGTGCTAATAAGTTTTAATATGGTTTTGGCCTGTAACAAATTATAAGGGAGAAGGCAAGCAGTAGCAAGGAAAACAGCTGACGAAACTATAAAAAACAAACAAACAAAATCTCAAATCATTTACTCACATGGAGCATTTATTGTAGGGAAAACTCATTGTTAGTCTGGACCATAGGGACAAATAGTTATCAGTTATTATTTCTCCCCATCATTAATTTGTGATTTTTGTCCTCTGGATTTCATGTTTAAATACTGGCTTTCTGATGTTAAGGCTTTCTGTTTCTCTTATATTTGTAGCAGTATAATTTTTGGTTGTGACCTGGTTAAAAATGTAAAGAGAATATTTTTTTAGGTTTTGAATGCCAGCTTGTTTGAGAAGTAACTAACTTGTCTTATTTGGTTCACAATTATGGACATCTGGGGCATTTCCTTAATTTTTCCCTAATATACTTGTTCAGATGTGTGGCTTATAAGTAGTTTCTACAGATAGATGCTGTTAAAAAAGGCACAAACCTTTATTTATCAGCCAGCTGCTGTTGTATAGTTAGAGCAAGCTTGACAGAGAAAAGCTTATGGGTAGAGTATCCGACGGCTCTGCCTGTCCTGCAGGAGAGGAAACTGCGTGGTGCCCGTGGAGCCAGTCTGGGCCCGCCACCCCGTTCGCCTTTGTTGGTCAGGAAGTAAAGCAGTACTTTTTTTCCCCAACAATTACTTTACACATTTATACAAAATAGTGTTTTAATTGGTTATTGATAAAGAACTGAAAAGTATCATCATTGAGACATTATTTAATTTGCTGTTAACTTTTTAAGTATGTGCTTTCCCAAACACCATCTGTGGAAGCGTGAATGCATGTTGTATGTAGAACATGCTTGTCTCCGGACAGAAACGTTTGAATTTTCAAGAGGTGCGGTTGACCTGTCCTGTTCTTTTCGTAGATAAATATGGAGTCTCTGTTTCCCTGCAAAAGATTTTATTTATTTATTTATTTATTTATTTATCTACTTATTTTTAGGTAGAGGGGAAGGCAGGGAGAGAGGGAAAGAAGCACCAGTGTGTAACCACACATTGCCTTTTGCACGCCCCCAATTGGGCACCCAGCCTGCAAACCAGGCATGTGCTCTGACTGGGAATTGAACCAGCGACCCTTTGGTTTGCAGGCTGGTACTCAATCCACTGAGCCACACCAGCCAGGGTGGAGTCTCTTTTCTTTTATTGAAGTGCCTTGTAAACCTTCTCTCTCTCTCTCTTTTTAAAACTAGGTTTCATTTATAAAAAAAATGTTAGGGATTTCTGGTCTTTGATAAATCTTTTTCAGTACTAACTTTTATGTTGCCTAAACCCTTCTGGGCAGGATCTCTTGAGGTGTTTTTCAGTCCAATTCCTTTGGAACTACAAGGTCTGTCCAGAAAAACTCTAGCCATTGTTAACATAACGGAAACAGTTTGCGCGACACCAGTGTCACCTGGCAGCCAAGAGAGTGGACTGGAATGCACATGTGTGAACAATGACGACTTCACTGTACTAGTCAGTGGGGGAGGTAGATGCCCCTGAGTGAGCATGTGTACTGTGTGGTCACATTATGACTGAGAGAGTAGAGCAGCGAATCTACATCAAATTTTGTATTAAGCTTGAACATACCTCCATGGAAACTATTTGGATGATTCAGAAGGCTGTAATTATGGGCAACTGGTGATTGGCAGCTTCATCATGACAAGGTACCCGCTCATGCATCACATCTCATGCAGAGTTTTTTGGTGAAACATCAAAGCACCCAGGTGACTTAGCCCCCCTACAGCCCAGATTTTGTGCCCTGTGATTTCTGGCTTTTGCCAAAACCAAAACACCTTCGAAAGGGAAGAGATTTCAGACTGCTGATGAAATTCAGAAAAATATGATGGGGCAGCTGATGGCAATTGGGAGAACTGTGAGGTCCCAAGGTGCCTACTTTGAAGAGGGCTGAGACATCATTGTCCTATGTACACTGTTTCTCATATTGTATATCTTCAATAAATGTCTCTAATTTTATATTACATGGCTGGATACCTTCTGGACAGACCTCATATGGTTAATATTCATTTTTGCAAGAAAAGCTGATGTGTTTTAAAAATCTGCGTTTAAGTGTTCGTTAAATATCCAGCATATTCTTGTGCTTTAGGGATTTGCCAAGTATGTGGGTTTGTGAATATGAATGTTTATTTTTAACAGAGTTCACAAGGCATTCCTTAAAAGTCAGTGTGGCCTTCCAGTTATGTCTTTAAAGAGAGACCTTGATGATTTGAACATGGAAGAATTTGCTGCACTTTAGAAGTAGGGATAAAATCAGGGATTTCACTGAAGAACACCTTGTAGAATGGTGTTCCTGGTACTGCCGTGTACAAGTTGGCATTCTATAAGTTGTTAGGTAGAAAAGCAGACTAAAATATTTTCATAGTTTTAGAGAGTTTAGAGTCAAAAAGATTTTCTAACCAGAAAATTCAGCTGGTTAAAATTTTTATTATAGTATAAATTGTTTGTATTCTAGGTTAGTTACAGTCCTTACAGTCTTCTGATGCTGCCCATTGGGAATGGATTTAGATTTATATATTTTAAACTTCCTTCAGTGTTAACTGAGAGAAAGGCTTGTTTTATGTTACAAGTTAACATTCACTTTGAATGAGCTACCGTAGTTTTAATTGCATGAGAGAAGAGTGAGTATGGCTATCCCTGATAAACTGGAGAAAGTTGAGGGTTATTATTTTTTTTTAAAGATTTTATTTATTTATTTTTAGAGAGGGAAGGTGGGGGGGGGAGAGAGAGACATCAATGTGCGGTTGTTGGGGGTCATGGCCTGCAACCCAGGCATGTGCCCTGACTGGGAATCGAACCTGTGACACTTTGGTTCACAGCCCACGCTCAATCCACTGAGCTATGCCAGCCAGGGCGAGGATTATTTTTTTAAGTACATAAATGTAGTAGAAAACTCTCAGTGAAAATAATGTATTAAAGTTCCTGGAGGATTAGAAAGAATTAGAATATTGGCATTCAGGGTAATCAGGTAATATTTCCAGGGAACCTGGTTAGAACTCATTAAATTGAATCTCAATGTTAAAGACTATATTGTATACAGAGTATTTAAGGTTACAAAGTCCAAAAAACTTGATGAATTTTTCCCATTTTTATGGGGTGTTTTTCATCATTCTTACAAAATGAAAAATAGTGTGTGTGTGTTTTTTAATTTACTGGGCATACTGGGCATTTTTTGTATATACTTTGTTACCTTAAACATCTGTAACCATCTACTTAGTACTGTGCCTGGAATTTAGTAGTTGCTCAGTAAGTTTATTTATTTATTTTTTAAACGACTGTTCAGGTGATCTGTAACTAGAAAATGAAGTACTCAGTTTTGAAGGTCTCTTCTGGTTAAATGATGTGGATTCTGCCATGTCTTGTAGATATACAGGGTCTGGCAGAAGTGAGGCCTGCTTGAGTGTGGTTGGTAGGGTCATAATAAGGGTGTAATAATTTATAGTTTTAATTTGAACATTTCACCTAAAATGTCATATGGTATGCTAGAGTGTGATAGTGTTATGTTACAGAATTACATGCTTATGATTTTGTAATAAAAAGGGGGCGTTGTTTGTGCTGGACCCCGTGGGTCCCGGGAAGGTGGGGTAGTGTTAAGTGTGTCTGTGTCTGTTTTGTCAAAGACAGCATGCCTTGTCTGTTGAGTGTTTTTTTTAACAGATTGGCATAGGGAGTACAAAAGTATCACCAGTGTGACCACAAGGCAAATGATAAGAGTTAAACCAGTCTGGAGCATGGAATGGATATTCCCATCTGTTCATTTTGCCAGTGGTCATGGTGTTCAGACGTTTCTCATCAATGACACAGTCAGCTGAGCCAACCAAGGGATTTCAGGGCACTAAAAAAAGCAGTTAAATTACTCATCTACAGCAGCTTCTTAAACTGGCCAAGGGTAAGAGATTTACCATTAAGTGTGTCAAATAAAAGAAAGTGTTCAGTCATGTTCTTCACTAAGAACCTGATTTTGCTTCTCTCCAGACTGTAGCATTTTCTGAAACTTAAGAAAAACCACTTGCTTAGCACAGCTGTTGACTTCCTACAACTGAAATGCTTTCCATTCCCTTTAAAATAAGTCCTTCTGATGCAGAATGTAGATCACATGTATCATTCAGACCAAAAAAGTTTGCTGAGACTACTCCGGTCACTTGCCCCTGGGTCCTCCGGAGTCTTCACATTCCAGGCAGAGCTCCAGCTGTTCAATTTAGTTACCGGGCTCCGATTGGCTATGCTGCCCACTCTTTTCTCCGCCCCTTAACTTTCACTGGGAAAAAGTTCTTGAGCCAGAGATTAAATGTGAGCGCTGTCATCAGCCTTTCTGAGTGCAGCGGGCACCATGGGTGTGCTCCAGAGCAACCTGTGTATGCTCTGAGCCCCCTCCCTGCCTCCCCTTTCACCATGTTTCCTCTGGCAAGATTTTAAGTACAGCAATTCAAGAAGATTTCTCCTCCCAAAAGTCATCATTCTGAAGTGTATTGCCTCTTGATTGCTGGAAAAAAATCTTAAATTCATTTCAAAAGTAACTTATGACAAAACTTATTACAAGGGGTGAAAGGACTGTTGGAATTGATTAGCACTAATTTTCCACTGTGCCAGAGTGTGCAGTGTCTTTCAGAGGAAACCATAGCAGATCTGGTGAGTGGGCCATGCCGGTGGGGAGAATTGAATGTCCCTCATCTCCCTCTTTCCCTAGGGACAGTAGTCATGAGTGCCGGGTGTGCGGGGTCACAGAAGTGGGTCTTTCCGCATATGCAAAACACATTTCTGGCCAGTTGCACAAAGATAACGTTGATGCCCAAGAAAGAGAAGATGATGAAAAGGGAGAGGAAGAAGAAGAAGAGTATTTTGACAAGGAACTCATTCAGTTAATAAAACAAAGGAAAGAACAAAGTCGGTGAGTAATGATTTTGATTTTTTAAAAAGCATATCTGAAAAAATATAGTAGATAATAACATTTTCCATTTCCATACTTATCAGCCTGTAGAATTCAGCCTTATCTTAGTTATAAAGTGTAGCTTGAAGTTGCCGTCTTATGCATAAAAGAACAATGGAGTGCTTTCTTAAACTACCACACTATCTGCTTCAAAACTCACTCCGTGTTGCTCCTATGTAAAGGCTAGCTGTCGCTGCCCCATACCTGACATTTTCACCATGTCAATAACTATGTTTAGAACTGTCTTTTTCAGTACCAAAGTTTTTGGATACCAGTGAATTGTTTTTATAGGATATCCAAATTTTCTAGTGGAAAGCTATTAGTATATAAATTTTATATGAGTATTCTATATTCTTTTTTTTTTTTTAAGATTTTATTTATTTATTTTTAGAGAGGGAAGGGAATGGAGAAAGAGAGAGAGAGAGACATCAATGTGTGGTTGCTGGGGGCCGTGGCCTGCAACCCAGGCATGTGCCCTAACTGGGAATCGAACCTGTGATACTTTGGTTCGCAGCCCGTGCTCAATCCACTGAGCTATGCCAGCCAGGGCCAGTATTCTATATTCTTATTGCACCCCTAGGAAAAAAATGTTTTGCCTAATGTGAATCAACATGGCGTGTCTACCAAATTTGATTTAGCCTTATATTAGCTGCTTTAGTAAGTATTTATTGAATAAAATTATATTTTAAATTTGACAATGTCAAGATCATTTCAGCAGTATAAGTTTTTCTACTTATACTGCATAATTTCACACCTACATCTGTAATTCATGTATTAGGCTGTTTGTTGTATTTTAACCTTATTGATTTGTGGTGTGCAGACTTTAATGAAGCAGAAATTTTAAGATCACTAAAAGACATATAACCAATTGTGAGGAGGAGTAATTTTGCAAGTCCTAGGATGTGAGAAACATTTCAAGTTCAAAAGTAAAATTTTAAAGATTCTTGTTGCATACTAGTTATATTGGGTCTGCAATTCATTTTTAATTAGAGATTTGACTAGAAGTAGAAAGTAATTTTCACTCTGTATGGTAAAAGCTTTTGAACAGGTCCTTGAAGGAGACTTTCTTAGTTTTAAAATGTCAGTGGCAACTTTGTTCTTAAGTTGTTCAGTCCTTCAACTGATATTCTCACTACTTTTAGTATAGCTGTAGTTTACTCTTCTTTTAAGGTGTTGGAGCTTCTAGAAGATATAACTCTATTTTATTACACTCTTGTGCATGGCTAACTTATCTGTGTAAATAATTAAACATTAAGTCACAGGGTAAAGAAGCTTCTTAGTAAATTTATATTGCAGCTAACTACTCTTTGAGAATTCTAGTATGCTTTTTGGTGACCTGTTTATAAATTCATCTACTTATTTCTTCATGGTTCCCCCCCACCCTTCATGAGGTTTTTAACTGTAGGTTTAGCTGCGTGCTATTGTCCCCTCAATCTATCCATTTCACGATGATCTAGGAGTTCTACTTTGTAACTGACGTATTAACCTAATTCTCTCATTTCTGAATCACATTAGTATAGCTGAGTCAGTGATTTCCTTGGGTGTTGCAGACTGCTTAGAAATGAGATAAAAGCAGTTTGGCTAATGGTGGTACAAGTATTCCACTAATGTGTGATAACAATTAGCTCCTGTTTAAAAATTATTATAATTCTTAATATAAGTGAATGTTTGAACTTTTAGTAAATTAACGATTCATCTTCTGAAAAAGGAAGAAATTCTAATTTGTGTCCAAAATCTTATAGACACTAGAAACTTTTAAAGCCAAATAAGTCAGTTAAGTTTAAGATTCCAGTCAAGTTCAGAGGTGGGAACCCAACTACAGAAACTTTGGTTTGGGATTTTCATTCTGTCAGGACCTAGTGGTCAAGACTTTTGAGTGGGACTTTCGAGTGGGACTGCCAAGGCCCAAACCTCTGCCCTAGCACTTCCTGTGGAATTCTGGGCAAGTTTCTTAGCCTCTCTAATCCTCAGTTTCCTCAGCTAAGAAGTAGGAGTAACGAGCATACTTATTTCAGAATTGTGAAAAGTAAATGAGATCATGTATATAAATTGCTTAGCATTAAATGCCTAAGAATTAGTAGGTACTCAGTAAATTTTATCTAGTATCCCTCAATTTTTTTGAGCACCGACTGTATGCTATGCGTGGTACTCAAACACCATAGGAAGTTTGTAGAGGAAAATAGTTTTGCACATATTCTTGTGATGTTTTCTTAAATTTATTCACATTTCTGTGGGCTCCTTGTCTAAAATGAATAGCTCAAACAGCTGTAGCTTCTTTATAAAAACCTCCAGCACATGGAGCTCCTTATAGCACTTACTGTGGTGGCTGCTTACTTGCATTGGGACATTTTACTCTTGTTCATGATCTTATTTTCTCAGCTAGCTTGGATGTCCTTTAGGAACAGGAATGATGCATAAAACTTTTCATTCACCACTAATTCATTGAATGTGTGCTTGATAAAGTGTTTATTAATGAAAGTGATTATGCATAATAAAATCTTACCATTTGAAATGGGTTAAGAAACTGGGTTTTTCAGAAACAACCAATGACTGGAGAAATCACAGGATTAAGAGCAGCTGAATTTAAGTTGTATTAACGTGATAGCCATAGCTATAAAATATAATGGTTTTTGTTTTCAAAAAGCTGTACAATGTAAAAATAATAATTGGATGATAGACAGAGACAGAAATCCCAGAACATGGCTAGAAAAACAGCAACAAGAAAAGGAGCATTGTATAAATGTGTCAAATTTGTTATATTTCTGGGGTAATAGGAGAAACAAGAAAATGTTTAATTGATAAAATTGATAAATTGTGACTATATGTTTAATAATATCATTTAAATATACGACAGTAACCACTATTAGAAATAAAAATGGACTCTATTACATATTCTGAGTATCAGGGGAGTGAGGTCGAGGGGGAGTTTGGTGGATTTTGCCTTCAAAGGAAGTATAAGAATTCCTTTAAATCAGTAATGAAAAACTTTTTCTTCCAGACATGATGAACCTTCCAATAGCAGCCAAGAAATAAACTCTGATGACAAGCGTCTCCAGTGGAGACGAGAAGACAGAACCCCTTACCAAGACAGAGAGGGCTACAGTCAGCCTGCGTGGCATCATCGCGGACCTCCTCCACGCGACTGGAAGTGGGAGAAGGAAGGCTTTGGTAACACCAGGAAGAGCATCTTTGCACATTCTTTGAGGAACAGTGGTGGACCAAGAGGCTGTTCTGGGTGGCAGAAGGGCATTGGAGGAGGCTCCTCAACTTGGTTTCATAACCACAGTAATTCTGGAGGTGGTTGGCATTCAAATAATGGAACAGTAGCTTGGAATCACAATGGTTCAGGAAGGAATTCCAGCTGGCATTCTGAAGGAACAGGTGGCTTTTCCAGTTGGCATATGAACAGTAGTAACGGAAACTGGAAATCCAGTGTACGTGGTACAAATAGTTGGAATTATAGTAACCCAGGAGACAAATTTCAACCAGGCAGAAACAGAAATTCTAACTGTCAAATGGAAGACATGCCTATGCCGTGGAACAAGAAATCTAAGTCAAAAAAATACAGTCAAGAGAGATATAAATGGCAGCGGCAAGAAAATGACAAAATTGGTACAGTTGCCATGTATAGAGGTCCCTCTGAAGGATTTACAAGTGATAAATTTTCATCACAAAACTTATTTGACTTCAATTTTGAGCAGGTGGAAAGCCAAACCACTAAACAGGCAGACACCATAGCTTCCAAAATTGGAGGGAAGAATGGCAGTGCAGCAAGGGAGAAGTTCCGGCGCTGGACTCCTTACCCTTCCCAGAAGACTGTAGATTTACAGTCAGGAATGAAGGAAGTCACTGGTAACAAGGCAGAAATGACAGATAAGCCTTTCTTTGATTTTACCTTAAACACAGGAACACGAGAGCCCCAAGTCAATGAACCAAATAATTCCCCGACAGTGAAAACACAAAAAGAAACACACACTGGATCTCTTCACCACAGAGCCCCGTCTGACTGCACGGCCTCCTGTGAGGTGGTGAGAGAATGTCCTACCACAGAAAAACCCGAGCAAGTACATAGCTTCAACAAGATGCTGCCACTGAAATCCCCACTTCTTCCAACTCCAGCCACTAAACCAGTCCCTCAAAAGCAAGGTCCAAAGAATCCATCAAAAAACACCAAAGCAAATTCTTTTTTTTCTAGAGAACACTCAAATTCCTCAAACAAACCCAAGGAAGAAGACACTCACAATTCTTCTGGCATGTCCAAATTGCAGAGTTCACGTGTTTTAAAGGGGAATAAAAGTAAATTTGGCACTCAAAGGGAACCTGGTGAAAATTTAAGTGATACATTACAAAAAGCCCAAGAGGTGTTACAGTTTCATGAGTCATTGCAAAATCCACTTCTTAGCACTTCTAAAAGGACCAGGAATGGTGCAAAAGCAAGCAGGAATGTGGAAGAGTCTGAAAAAGGATCTTTGAAGATTGAGTTTCAAGTACGCTCATTAGAAGGTGAAAGTGATGGAGAGGTATCTGACACGGAAAGGCATGGAACAGAAATCGGAGCCCTGAGTTCTGCAACTACAGAAGATTTATCCTGCGGCACTCCCAATGCTGATGAGAAGGAGGGGGAAGACCAAAACCTGAAACCATCCAGAAAACTACCCACTTCCCCTTGTGATTCAGTAGTTCACCAGAAAGAACCTGAGTTGGAAATGACATCTGCAGCCAGTCCACACTCCGACTTACTGCTGGACTTGAAAACCTCTCTAGAAGATGTACAGGTTGATGACTCTGTGAAATCTCAGGTATCTTATGAAACAGAAGGCTTTGAGAGTACCGGCTTGGATGCAGAGCTTCAAAAGAGTGACATCACTCAGCCCTCAGGCCTTCTCCTGCCGGAACTAAGTAAGCTCGGCTTTCCTGCATCACTCCAAAGGGATCTCACTCGACACATTAGTTTGAAGAGCAAAACTGGAACACACCTTCCTGAACCAAACCTCAACAGTGCTCGCCGCATCCGCAATATTAATGGTCACCGAAAGAGTGAAACAGAAAAGGAATCTGGGCTCAAGCCGACCCTTCGGCAGATTCTAAATGCATCTCGGAGAAATGTCAATTGGGAACAGGTCATTCATCAAGTAACCAAGAAAAAGCAAGAGTTAGGCAAAGGCTTACCCAGGTATGTACCTCTTTTCAGTATCCATTTATCTTTCTTTCTTTTCAGCTTACTTTGACCTGGTTGAGAGAATTCTTGTTACATTTAATTAAATGCTTGCAAAAAATATGTGTTGTAGATGTCTGGTTTAAATATTAAAGAGATACTGCTCCTCCATAACAAACGGAATAAAGTGTTTCCTAGCAAGGAATTCAGTTGAAAAAGAAGCGCACTACTTCTGAGCAGTGAGATGGGGACAAGGGAAAAAATCAGAAACACGGCACTGCAGCTTTGGGGCCAGAGAGTGGCAGCGTGTGAACCTGTGCCTTCTGTGCAGGACTTGAGCGGTGCAGCTTTGAAGCGTAACTGTTCCCGTTACCTTCTACTTATGACCTATGCATAGCTACCCTTCTGTGTTTATTCTCAGCATTATATTTGTGATCACAAAATATTTTTTCTTAATACTTGCACGATATTTTGCCTGATCATGTGATACTGAGGTACAAAACTTTTCTGAATGGTAAAGCAGCATTCAACATAGGTTTGCGACTTGAAAATCATTCAGTGGTATCATATATGTCCCTCCAGGCTTAAATTTCTATCTTTATTGAAATAACATTTGTCGTGCCCCCTTATCCTTTTCCATAACTTGTATTATTGGTGTTATAAAGTTCTTAGTATAGTGTCTAGTATTTGTGAATGCTTAATAGACATTTTATTTTGTTTGCTATTAAAATTATGTACTTATTGTTGGCTTCAAGCTCCATATCAAATAAAACCCTCAATTTTTACTCTCAAATGTATTTTCATAGCTGTACCACTAATCTCTACTGGGTATTAATCTCTAATTGAGACATAGGTCTAGATTTGTAGCCTCGGTGTTTAACAGACTCTGGCACATTAAGTGGTGCTTCTTTCTCTCTCCTTGTTTGATTTATGATTTTCTTCTTTCTTTCTTAAGGTTTGGTATAGAAATGGTGCCTCTAGTACAAAATGAACAAGAGGTCTTGGATTTGGATGGGGAGCCTGATCTGGCCAATCTAGGATTCCAGTGGGAAGATGTTTCCATTTCTGCATCCCCTGGGTTGGCCAGGAAGCGAAGCCTCTCTGAGAGCAGCGTGATCATGGACAGGGCTCCTTCTGTGTACAGCTTCTTCAGTGAGGAAGGGACGGGCAAGGAAGATGAGCCCCAGCAGATTTTTTCACCTGGCAGCTCACTGAGGGCCACGCAGAGACAGAAAACAACCATGGGCCTTAAGCAGGAAGTGATACCTCTGGCCGCCTCCCTGAGAACAGGTGAAAGGGCTGCAAATGTTGCTACTCGAAGACGACATAGTGCACAGTTACCCTCTGACTGTGCAATGTCTTTGATGCATTTGGCAAAAGACCTGAACGGCCAGGAGAGTTCTGCACCACCTTCAGAGAGTCACAATGCCCAGGAGAGTAATGGAGAAGGAAACTCTGTATCATCAAATGCATCCTCAGCTCTTGCAGTCTCCAGTTTGGCAGATGTAGGCACAGATAGTAGCTGTACCTCAGGTGCTGAACAAAATGACGGCCAGAGCATCAGAAAAAAACGAAGAGCCACCGGAGTGAGTATGACTCCTGTGTCTTTTGTAGAATATTTTATGTGGTGACTTGAATGTTATAAGAAGGATTTAGCTGTTTATGTTTTCTTGCGTATCTAGGGTTATGGTTCTCCCTACTCTGGAATAGAAGACTTGTGAGGTTCTTACTCTTCCTTTCAGATTATTCTACTTGTTTCTTTCACTGAGTAATTCTACAAAGTTTTAGATGTAATTGAATATGAATGTACAGTACTAGGAAAATATGAAGTCATCTCTAAAATTAGTCATCAAGGCAATGAAGATTTGTATCACCTGACAAGGAGTAAGCCACATCTTCAGCTGTAACTTAATCCGTTTCCATGATGCATTCTCTACGGCTGCTGAAGAAAGGCATTCCAGGGTTGCCTCTGGAGGATATGTAGGCGTGTTGGACCCAGGAGTTTTAGGCTTAACACCAAGATAGTTTCCATAGTAATAGAGTACATCCATATGAGCATAGTCTCAGAAATATTTGTAGTCTCTGTTACTCTGTGTTTTGTACTTCGTTTATGCAGCCTGACCTTTCAGAATCCATTCCTTCACTGCCATCACTTCTATTCTGGCGTATCTGTTGCCAGTGTTGCTTAACCCTTTCAGGAACCCTTTATGGAAAGAAAGACTTGTGATGGTGATGCAGTCTGGAGTCTGGCACTGGCAGAAAACGGAGTGTGTCCTTAACGCCGAGGCGATGTAGCCGAGTGGATAAAGGTCTGGGGCATAGACCCAGATTCCAGTTCCAACTCTGCCCCCAACCTCGAGCTGGGCACTGTAGTGGGGGGGTGTCGTTGGATAAGAGATTGTCCTGTGACAAAGCTAGTATCTTGGGGCTTGTCTCAATAGACTCTTTAGCTTTTTGTTTTTAAAGTTTTATTGCTGAAATTTAGAGTAGAAATTGCTCCACAGTGAAATCAGATATGTGTGTCACTGGCTTTGTCCAGACTTTTATATGTTTTGCTTTACCAAGGTTTGGAATGCTTTGCCTGTGCCCTGTGGGCCTTACCACCTCTAGAATGCTGGGAAGGTGCTTGACCTTAGATTCTTCTTTAAAAACCATGCACATTTATTCAACTGATACTCAGTTCATACCATGTGTGTGAGAGTCCTACTGCTGTCCTGTTAGACATGGTAGAAATAATGAAGAATGTTATATGCCTATCTCAGAACTGATTGTTTTTTTTCCTTCCTGGATAATAGCCATTACACATTTAATATTATTTATTTTTCTGTATTTCCTCAGGATGGATCTTCTCCTGAAGTCCCAAGTCTTGAGAGAAAAAATAAAAGAAGGAAAATTAAAGGAAAGAAAGGTATAGTGCAGAATATTCGGGCAGAAAGAAATTATTCTTTTAGCAACTCAGCCTTTTTACAACCTGATACAGAATATAGCTTGTGGTTATCAAACACTGATTGCCCATTTATTATATTTTTTTACCTTTTGTTGTCTTGCTTAATGGCTTAGAAAAGTTTAATTTTCCACTATATACGTAGTTGCAGCTATAGAAGAAATACCATGATGTCACATTGACCTGTAAGCTAAAGTTAATATGTATCTTGGACAAAATGAGTTCAATATAAGTCTCATTGGGCCTTATCTGGGAGGAAGGGGAACAGGCCTGTGGTAAATTTTTGTCTGTCTTTGTCATTCATAGCCATGTCTTTTAGTCTCCATTTTTTGAGGCGTCTTTGTTGCTTTTCTCATATGAATTAAGGAGAGAAGTTGCTAATGTGGTTCCCTGACTAATGTGCTTCTACGGCTTGCTTGCCCCTGACTCTAACCCTGTGGAAAGTGATTGGATGAGCATTGGGAGATTGGAAGTGATGCATAAGGTAGGGGTCAAGTGTGACCCCAGCTTCTGGCTGAGGCAGCTGTGTGAACCAGAGGTGTCCAGCCCACAGCCCGCGGGCCGCATGTGACCCAGGATGGCTATGAATGTGACCCAACACAAAATTGTAAATTTACTTAAAACCGTTTTGTTTTTGTTTTGTTTTTGGTTTTTTTTTGCTCATCAGCTTTTGTTAGTGTTTGTGTATTTAATGTGTGGTCCAAGGCAACTCTTCTTCCAGTGTGGCTCAGAGACACCAAAAGGTTGGACACCCCTGGGTGGATGATGGTATCATTTATAGAGCTAGAAAACTCCACAAGGGGAGCGGGTTGAGAGTAGAGAAAGATGACACGCTACCTTTTGGATCCCTTGAGTTAAAGGGCCTTAGAGACACCTAGGTTGAGATGCTCAAGTTGGTAGCAGGATATGTGGGGTCTGGAGTTCAGGACCTAGAGTGTTGGATGGGAAACAGACAGACATAAAGATGACAAATCCATACACATAGTAGAATTTATTTAAATAACTTAAGAGAACTATTTCAAAGCTGTATCTCCTTCGGGAAGACTTCTCTAATAAAGATAACTATGTTAACTAACAGACTAGAAAAATAGGAATTAGGAGGAGAATGTGAGCAGAACAGGTCTGGGGCTCCCTCTGAGCAAACATGCAGAGGGTGGTAGGTGAAGGAAGACAGGGCAGTGAGAACTGCAGCAGTTGGCTTGCTCTGGACGAAGATTTCACTTGGAAGGGTATTGGTGGGAAATGGCTGCTGGGTGAGACGGCGCCACGTGGCGGAACTCTTGAGCCTTTGCAGCACCTCCAGTCTTACCAGTTCTCAACTTTGGGTACCTGGCTCTTGACAGCCTCAGGCTTAACGTATGGTTTGTGAGATCTAATGAGTCTCTTATACCTATTGGGGAGAAAATAAAGGCTTGTCCTTGGTAACTGATGTAGTTCTATCTCCTGAGGAGCTGGATTATTAAAGAGAAGTCTCCAGTATTAAACCGAGGTTTATGGTTTCTTTTGGCAGAGCGTTCTCAGGTTGACCAGCTGCTGAATATCTCCTTAAGGGAGGAAGAACTAAGCAAATCGCTGCAGTGCATGGACAATAACCTTCTGCAAGCCCGTGCAGCCCTCCAGACGGCTTATGTTGAAGTTCAGAGGCTGCTGATGCTCAAACAGCAGGTAACAGCTGACGGAACACTTAATGGAAACAGATCATCTCTGAAGTTGGATTTGAAAATTCTTAACACATTACTTTATTTTTAGATAACTGTGGAGATGAGTGCACTGAGGACCCATAGAATACAAATTCTACAGGGATTACAAGGTATTTGGAGAGAATGTGAGGGGTTGGGCCTTCCATAGCTTGTTGCTTCCTTTACCTCTGTAGATGGGAATTAAAGTCATTATTAAAAAGCCATATATTTATCTCATGTCTCTGGTTTCCTTCTTCTGTAGAAAGGCCTGTTAGACTCTATATCCCCAGAATGCTTAGCAGTGGAGACAGTATGTTACAGAAGGAGCCTTGGGTTAGGAATCAAAAGTCCTGGGTTCAAATCTTGTCTCTTCCATTAGTATCTATATGACATTGGATAAGTCACTTAAAATCTGAAAAATAATGCCTGTTTTGTCTATATCCTTGGTAGTTGTATAGATACACGATGATCGATTTTGAAGAATTATGAGGGACTTTGAATTATCTTATTTTTAAAAATACACATTATCTAAGAAACAATTGCTTTTCAGAGAACATGTTTGAATTTATGTACGTGTGTATTTTCCATCCTAGAAACATACGAACCTTCTGACCGCACGTACCAGGGACCCTGCAGCCTTCCACGAGAACAAAGGAGCAGTAGATCTCAAACATCTGCTGATGCCATGCTGCTGCCTGCCCCCTTTTTCCCACTTCTTCTGGAGTCTCCGTCTTCCCATGTGTCTCCGTCATCCACAGGAGTCCCTTTCCAAGTGACCACATCTCCTACTTTCCAAGCTCATGGCAGCGTTCCTGCTCCAGACTCGTCAGTTCAGATAAAACAAGAACCCATGTCTTCTGAACAAGACGAGTATTTGAATGCTGTGTCGCAGATCTCTCCTTGCAGTATGTCCAAGGAATTACTGCAAGGTAACAGTATGCAAACTTTCCTCTTGTTTAAGGGCAACCCTGTAGTGGGTCTAGGGCAATTTTATATCAGTGATGTAGAGTTATACTTGCCCATTAAACTGACGTTACTACAATGAATTTTTCTTGAGGTTTTCTCCACTTAGGATTATTTAAATATCAGTAGCTTTTCCTTAATTTTTTCTAATATAGAATTATTGATTTGACTTTGAGTTAGTACCTAAAAGTTCTATTTATGAGGATTGGTGCAGAATTATTTAGTTTTGGGAGATTCATGAGGTTGATGTTGTTCAGTAAATTTTCTAAATAAGATATATCCTCTGAATTTCTCAGCACTTAACTATCTTTATCATCTAAGGCAGCGGTCCCCAACCTTTTTGGCACTGGGGACTGGTTTCGTGGGAGACACTTTTTCCACAGACCTGGGGCGGGTGGGTTTCAGGATGATTCACGTGCGTCACATTCAAGCTCACGTCCTGCTGTGCAGCCCGGTTTCAAACAGGCCGGGATGGGTACTGGTCTGCAGTCCAGAGGCTGGGGGCCCTTGGTCTGAAGAACAGCCAGGGTTACTAGAAGCCTGAGAGGCAGGTGCCCGTGATGAAGGCAGAGAGGTCTCTGGGGCTTGGAATCATCTAATAGGAACTTGGGTGGTTTCGAGAGGCAGGTCAGGTGTTTAGTCTTTTCATGATGTAACATCTGGTTACCATTTGAGAATAACTTCTGAACAATTTAAAATCTGATCTGAAGTTTGCATAATCCCAATGGTGCTGTAATAATAATTAAGTAAAAAGTAAGCAGACTGGCGTTGTGTGATTTCTTGAGCCAAAATAAAGTCTGAAGATTTGGCTACCTGTTACAGCACTAATCTAGATATCTTTTATCAAAGGTATGCTATCTTTTATATTGAATTTGTTACTTTTACATGGATAATAATTATTATTTTTTAAAAACTAGTAATGAAGCCATGGAGACTTTTTAATAATTTTTTTCAAAAATAGCTTTTTCTGATTACAAAACTAATTCATGTTCAATGTTCATTGTAAAGAATTGAGAAACTAGAAATCTAGATATATATTATTTCAGTCTTTTCTTAAATCCTACATGTAGACTTTATTTTCTTAAATCCTACATGTAGACTTTATACAAAGGACAAATCATAGACTGTTATAACTTGGCTTTTCTCCCTTAATATGTCATTTATTATTTCTCTATGTCATAAAAATAATCATCTAAAATATTTTATTTTACCAGTTGCATAATATTTGAGAAGTTGCACGATAGTCTGGATGTGCAATAATTTATATAATTTTCTTGGAATGTTTAGGTTTTTTCTCTTTTTTTAGTATTCTATATAACATGTTATATGTGTCTTTAAGTATGTCTGATAACTTCATCAATTTAAATTTGTAGGCATGAAATAATTCGGTCAAAGAAAATAGACATTTTTAAGTCACTGGCTTTTTAACTACTAGTGTGTAGCTAAACTGGATGGTGTGAACAGGTGAAATACATAGTGAAAATTTAGAAGAGATAAAGGTGAATGCACTGCAGCCAAGTAGATGCCCGAGTGTCTGCTAAGGACAAAACACAGTGTTCAGTATGTGGACGTTTCAAATAAGGAAGAAAGACAAAAAGTTGATAAAAGCAATTCCCACCCATAAGGAGCTCTGGTAGGGTATAAGACATGTATGTTATTTGTGAGATTAGTGCAAGGCAAAGTACACTAAGTGCTGTAATAGAAATTTATGTAGGTTATGAGAAGTTGAGAAGTAAAGTAACAGCTTTAAAAGCCATGGTTTATTTAACTTATCATTGAAATAATTGGGGAAGTATCAACATTAAAATGTCATTATTTGTTAGAGATTCAATCAGCGACAAATAATTGCAGTTTATGACTAAGTAGCAGACAAAAAAGGTGCAATAACTTGCTTCTTCTCTACTTAGGAGAGAATGGTGACCATCGCCCAGTCTCCCCAGGCATCACCGCAACATTGTCCTCGTCAGAGCTGACAGAAGGTTTCCGTGAGCCTAGCCAAGAGCTGAAGTTTTCTGTGGAGCAAGGAAATACCAGAAACAGAGAAAATGCTCTCTATTCCCAATCAACTGGCCTTCCTAGCGTAAATAAAGAAGGCGAAGAGCCAGCCAAAGGCAACAGCGGGTCTGAAGCCGGCACCAATTCTTTTCCAAGATTGTCTTTCGCTTCAGAAACCCCTTTGGAGAAGGAGCCCCACTCTCCAGCTGACCAGCCTGAACAACAGGCAGAGTCTACTCTGACATCAGCTGAAACCAGGGGTAACAAGAAAAAGAAGAAACTTAGGAAGAAGAAAACTCTGCGGGCCACCCATGTTCCTGAGAACAGCGACACCGAACAGGATGTATTTACTGCTAAACCTGTGAGGAAAGTGAAAACTGGAAAGTCAACTAAAGGAGGGAAGGTGGCCACCTCCACCTGGGAGGACAGCAGAACTGGCCCAGAGCAGGAGAGTGTCAGAGACGAGCCCGACAGCGACTCCTCTCTGGAAGTCCTGGAAGTTCCTAACCCTCAGCTGGAAGTGGTAGCCATTGATTCTTCCGAATCCGGGGAAGAGAAACCAGACAGCCCATCTAAGAAGGACGTTTGGAACAGCTCAGAGCAAAACTCACTAGAAACTTCTCGTTCTGGCTGTGACGAAGTGAGCTCTACCAGTGAGATTGGCACTCGTTACAAAGATGGGATCCCCGTAAGGTAGGGATGGTGCACTGGTCCACTCAGAACAGCTTTCACTGTTCTTCTTTTCTTTAAAAAAGAGAGCTTTTTGTTATGACTCAGAATTTTTAAAAGAATCGAATTTGTAGAAAATCAGGCATTACAGATGTGGCAGGCTTAAACCTTGACAATGGAGATTTTCTGCTTTCTCTTTTGTGTTGTGAATATTTACTGTACTTTTATTTCCTTTCCTATAGAAATTTCAGATGGAAAAATGACCTCAGATCATTGTTCTTTTGCCCATTGATTAGAGCAATCCTTTGAGTCAGAAAAATTTAAGTTTTACTACCTGTCCTGTTCACACAGATGCTAAGAAGACTTTTGCTATTGTTTTGTAGTGTGGCAGAAACTCAGACTGTGATCTCCTCCATAAAAGGATCAAAGAGCTCTTCAGGTATTTGGTGATTCCATTTTATTTAAGTTAACCACAGAGAAAAAGGCTTGTGAATGCGAGGGCTGGGGTTTCGATCTACTTAAATATGCTTATAGAAGAGGGGGCAGGAGTTATCGCCAAGAGAATTGCTTTGACCAGCAGTTACAATGTTCCTAGATCCTCAGATCCTGGCTTTGCAGTTTCTTACTCCCATCTCTCTCTTACTGGCTCTCGTATCTGTTTGATGAATTTGTATTAAGGTTTCACTGACTCCAGGAGTTTTTGCTTTGAGAAGGACCTGCTTTAAGAATAATGCTTTATTGCCCTGGCTGGTGTGGCTGAGTGGATTGAGCACCGGCTAGTGAACCCAAAGGTCACTAGTTCAATTCCCAGTCAGACCACATGCCCGGCCTGTGGGTCAGGTCCCCAGTTAGGGGCATGCGAGTGGCCACCACACAATGTTTCTCTAGCATAGCTTCTTTCCCGCTCTTTCTCCCTCCCTTCACATCTCTCTAAAAATAAATAAAATATTTTTTAAAAGAAGAAGGCTTTATTCAACAAAATAACATGTGCCAGATATTAGATACCTTCCAGTTACCACTCAGAAACTCATTATTTCAATGTCATTTTCTTAAGCGAAAGACATTCCCTGCCTTCTCTTACTGGGAAATCTTCATAATAAAGATACTAATTGAAAATGTGGTATTTTGCAAGGGAACTAGGCTTTACGGAGAATCCAGGGACCAATATATTATTTAATAGTTTTAATTTTTGAGTATCTTTTCAGACACAGCAGATATGTCTCTGAAACATAGTCTTGTTTTCTAGAAATATCTTCAGAGCCAGGAGATGATAATGAGCCCACTGAAGGGAGTTTTGAGGGGCACCAAGCTGCAGTGAATGCAATTCAAATATTTGGGAATTTACTGTATACCTGTTCCGCAGATAAAACTGTGCGAGTTTATAATCTGGTGGTAAGTTGTTATAGCAATTTGAATGTTTTTGATAATTGCAGGTTTTAGAAAGTCCAGCTCAGAATAAAGGGGAGTTTTCTTTGTTGTCTAGAGATGGGGTGGGCTTTAGACTAACTTTAGGTACAGGTGACCCAGCTGCTCAGCTGAGTCACTGGGAACTTAGTTTTATTTGTTTCTCCACTCTGCCCCCTCTGTATCACCTCTTCCTAAAGGTATTCTCCTCCGCTCACAAATAGATGCCAGGAGCCACTGGGGTTTCTTTTCTCTCCCACCACCAAATAAGGATCTCGGGCTTTATCCCCTGAACAATTAATCACTTGGCAAAGGAAGGTGGGATTACAACAATGGACTTGGGCTAGTCAGATCTCAACCCTCAGCTGGTGATGAGGTCAGTCACCTAGCTGTTGTATAATAGAGAAGGGGCAAAATAAATAATTGGGGAAGTATTAGAGAAGCCATTCTCCTGGAAAGTTAATTATGCAAGTTATTAAGGAGAGCAACAGTCTTCCACTATATACACTTAGTATAATCTGATGCTCATTACTCTGGATTTTCGTAAAATGAACTTGAATTTGGTATGTGTGTGTGTGTGTGTGTGTGTGTGTGTGTGTATACACACATGTCAAACTATTTCCATTTATCAACAATGACAGTCAATAAACTTTAGAAACATCATTATCTTGTCCAAGCAAATTGCTAAAGTCCTTGAAAATCAAAAGAGTAGTTGATGGACCGAGAAAATGTGTTTGCTATAACCAGTTAGGTGTATAAGTCCCTTTAGCCTAATAATGTGGAGGGCAAAAGGGGTGACTGAAGGAAGGAAGCAAAGGTACCAGAAATGTGAGTATGAGATTTGGGGGGTCGGTTTGAACTCTAAATTGCAAAATAAGTGTATGTGGATCTGCATGTTCTAACTAGATCTCAGAGCTAACACAGATAGCTATTACGATGTCCCCTTATGAAACCACACCTGGGCCACTAGGACCTGTGATGACACCTGATATGTCTTGGAATATTATGGAGCCTTCTCACAAGCTACTGATCAAATGCAGGCACTTCTCTTAGTATTTAGTTACAGTTTGGATTTACTAGATTTTTGGTCTGTGTGTTGGAGAGCTTTGCCCTAGGCATTAGTTAAAATTCTTCTTTTGGCATTAGTTAAAATTTTAGTCTACCATGTAGTGCATTGCTCTACGTATTTTTTGGTATAACTCAGCCAACATAGTTGGAATTACCTTACTACATATCACCAGGCACTTTTCTAGGCATTGAGGATACAGCGATGAACTGTTCTGTTTTAGCATCTTTTTGTTGAGGAAATGTGTTAGGTGATCCTTCTATTTCTGCAAGTGCTAATCTGGTTTGTGCTGACTTTAGAGTCGGAAGTGCATTGGTGTCTTTGAGGGCCATACTTCCAAAGTGAATTGCCTCCTGGTCACTCAGATCTCCGGGAAGAATGCTGCCCTGTACACTGGTTCCAGCGATCACACCATTCGCTGCTACAATGTTAAGGTAAATGGGTCCAGACAAATCAAAAGTGATGATGTTGAACTGCTTTGGCGGTATTTACTGTGTAGAGTGGGGGCACAGCGACAGGTGCTTTGTTCTTCCCAGTTTCTCTTTTGCTTCTATCATTAGAGTTAGTGCTTGAATTTCATCTAAGTAAACAGTACTGCATGTATTCTTTTGTGCCCAGCTGTAGCTCATGATAATATCTGAAGTTCATGTGTATTGTTTCATGTGCCAGTAGTTCTTTTTTAATCATTGTATGGTATTCAGTGTCCTTTGTAAAAATACAAAATGATCTAATTTGGGTTAATTAGAAGCATCAGGAATCTTAACATTTGGGCATATTTGCTATCTTTTTATTTTACAATTTTGTATGTGGCATATATTTGTAATTTTATGGGGGAAACAAAAATTTAAAAGACTGACTCCTTTGGGTATGAAAGAAGATGAGGAGAGGAGAACAAGGGCTTTGACTTCCTACAGCTTTGGTCGTTCTGCCCACAGCACGTCATATCCGATCACTCGTAACCATCTTCATTGTAGCATCGCCAGCCAAACCTGTTTTAAAAGCTTTGCTAGGGCAGTTAGTTGTATGGTGTCACTTAACAAATCTTGAGCACTTACTTACTGTGTTACTGGTCCTGTTCTAGGTTCCAGGTAATTAAATTTGCTGATATAACCCAGTGCCTGTTTAATCTGGATCTGCATTGGAATTACTAAGGAAAATTTTAAAAATACATATTTCAGAACCTACTGAGTTATAATCTAGGCATTGGAGGTGAAGCTTGGGCTTTTGTATATTTTAAAAGCTTGGGTAGTTACAGATGGGCTATCCTGACACAGGTTGGAAGGAGACATTTGGGAGCCATTAGAATAGAGAATCAGTGGTAGGAAAGCACATATTTGGTTAGCACAATTGTGTATACAAATAGAATTTTTATTTTCCTTTTAGATGTCAAATGCAGCTTTAACTTTGGTTACTTGATTTAAGAGGCTAATACCCAATTCACAGTGCCTTTTAAAGAATTTCTATATTCCAAATTAGCAATATAGGTAACATTATTAGAATTGATACATGTTTTTGATATTACCTACAGCTTGAGAGTATTTGGCCACATATTTCAAAGGAGAAAAAAAATCTAAGATGGTCTTCTATAAAATAGATGATGCTTTTTCGTCCTCATAAAATCATTTCATACTCTGCCTTCAGAAGGATTGGTTTCCCATTTTACTTGGAGCTAACCTCTGCTGATCAGGTGTTGTGTGCTTTTTCAGACGCGGGAGTGTGTGGAGCAGTTACAGCTGGAAGACCGGGTTCTTTGCCTTCACAGTAGATGGCGAGTCCTCTACGCGGGACTAGCGAATGGCACTGTGGTCACCTTCAACATAAAGGTTAGTGGCTGTGGGGAGAAGGCTGAATTCCCATGCCACTTGAAAATAGTGTGAGTGTGAGGGGAGAGAAGAGGAAGACTGTCAGGGAGAAGTGGAAGTGGAAGACAGACATTTTCATCTGTTTTCTTATGTGAGAAAGCAACAGCGTTAACCACTGCCCCAAAACTGTGATGTTCGGGTGTAAGTGACACAGGATCCTGCGTAATATCCGTATAGATGCAGTGTGCCGGGACTAAATGTAACTCCACTAAATTAAACCAAGCTGGCAATTTGGTGCCAAATAATGAGTCACAGGTTAAACTAGTCTGTCTTGTTTTTAGGAATGACACCATGAAAAGTGAGCTTAAATTTCTTTGAATATGACATGGATGTGGTTTGGAACTGATTCAGGGTTTCATGAAGGTAACCTGTTCTGTAAAGTGAACTAAGTCAAAAGTTTGCCTTCATGCCCACGTGGCCTCATTCTATCCTAACCCAAAGGTAAAGTCATTTGTTGAGCAAACCTTTATTGAGCATCTGTTATGTGCTAGGCCCCTGGATGAGGCTTAGGAAATGAGTAGGGAGCAGTTCTCGACGGCCCTGTGTGCTCTGAGAGACATGATCCAATTTGTATTTGAGAAAAAGTCACTCTGGAGTTGATGAGGTTGGGAAATGCTGGTAACAGTAGAGGCAGGGAGATGATTTAGCAGGCTTTCTGATGGAAGCTAACATGAATGATTAGACTATGGATGAAGAGAAGAGAATGGATAAGAGATATAGATAGTCTCAGAGGTGGAATTGATTACTAATCCGTTGTGGCACTATAGCTCAAGGTCATCTGGTCACCTTTTAACAGCATGTTAGAGACATGTTAGAATGTTTACTATGTTGTACCCGGTAATAGTATCATTCATATGTTTAGTGTGTAACTACTTGCCGTTAACTATTGTGTTTTCAAGAGAGGCAATAAAATACATCATGGTTTCTGTCATTAAGAAGTAGTACAAAGCCCTAGCTGGCATAGCTCAGTGGATTGAGCGCGGGCTGCAAACCAAAGTGTCGCATGTTCGATTCCCAGTCAGGGTACATTCCTGGGTTGCAGGCCATGACCCCCAGCAACCGCACATTGATGTTTCTCTCTCTCTCTTTCTCCCTCCCTTCCCTCTCTAAAAATAAATAAATAAAATCTTTAAAAAAAAAAGTAGTACATATACTCAGGTGCCAACGTATTTGGTTCACTTGACAGGAACAGATTACAGAGGGGGAATTAGTGAAGGTTTTTGCATTCCAGGTATGAAGTGTTAACAGCCTAGATTAGATTTGGTTAGGGCAGTAGAAATAAAGAAGAAAATAAATTTAAAATGTTCATATTTTATTGAATAAAATTTGATAGGTACCTAATTTTCTTTTCTTTTATGAGTTTAATGTTATCAAAGGTAGATAGAAGTTAGGAGCAAATGTTTAGGGACAAAATAATGGCAAGAAATAAGTCTTTTATTTTTAATAGTGTTTTTGCTTTAGCATTTTGAAATTTGTTTATCTTTTAAAGATTTTATTTATTTTTTAGAAAGGGGAAGGGAGGGAGAAAGGGAGAGAAACATCAGTGTGTGTTTGCCTCTTGAATACTCCTACTGGGGACCTGGCCTGCAACCCAGACATGTACCCTGACTGGGAATCAAACTGGCAACCCTTTGGTTTACAGGCTGGCACTCAATCCACTGAGCCACACCAGCCAGGGCAAAAAATAACAGTCTTTGAATGGTTGAAAAACCTGAGAAGATGGACCTCGAGACAGAGCTTTGAGACTCTTCAGAGATAGGAATTTTGAAGCCTTGTTAGGGCCGGGCCTTTTCTGATTTGCCCCTACCCCCCAGAATGCTGTGCTTCTGGGGTCTCAACAGAAAGCCAGGGCAGTTTATCAGGGCCTGTCCACCCGTGGGCCAAACCCTGTCAGTCTGTCTTCCTAGCACCTCATGATGGCTGAAGGTGATGCCTGGCTCTGTAGGCTCCCAGCTGCTGCTGTGCTGATTCAGTTTCTGGGAGTTTCACCCCATGCACACACCTAGAGGCTTGGGGAAGTGGGAGACTTTGTGAACAAGACTGGTGTGGGGATGAGGGAAGCAAGCCTGAAACCTGAGATAAGGGAGCGTTTGGGAATTGAGGGTGTGGCCGTGCCGCTCCGACTGACGAGGAGGTTCTGTATGCTGCTGGAAAATGTTGTGAAAGATGACGTGGAGCCAGAAGTCGGGAGAGCATTAGTGTAACAGGAAGGTGGAGGGTGAGAGACTGTCATTGAAATTGTCTAAGAAAGTAGTTCTCAGTGGAGAAATTTGGAAATACCCTGACAAATAGATTGCACACATTTTGGATGTCAAAAAAATAGTGAAAGGGTTCCTGGGGCTGTGGCATGACAGATGTATTAGAAAATGAAAATAAGGTTGGTCATTCATTATCATTAACTTAGAGAGGGGGCAGAAAGAGAGAACTGGGGCCCAGCTGTGGTCAGGATAGTGCGGGTTGCAGTTAGAAATGAGTTCCTAAGGTAAGAGTTCGCCCCCGCTGCAGTGGGGGAGGAGGGAGTCACAAACACAGAGAGAACTGGCTTGGGAATGGCAGCGTTTGGGAAGTTAAGGATGGCTGAGTAGGTGTGAGAACTTAAATACAGGTAATAGAGTGTAGCGTTTATAACAAGGTAGTTGATTTTGAGGTTTACCAGCTAAGTTGCTTTTACTTCATATAATGGTGACTGTTTTCTTCAGAACAACAGGCGACTGGAAATCTTTGAATGCCACTGCCCTCGGGCAGTTAGCTGCTTGGCCACAGCTCAGGAAGGTGCCCGGAAGCTGCTGGTTGTGGGATCTTACGACTGTACCATTAGTGTACGTGATGCACGGAATGGGCTCCTCCTCAGAAGCCTGGAGGGCCACAGCAAAACCATTCTGTGCATGAAGGCAAGTACAGTGCAGGAGACCAGGAGCTAGTTCTGGCACAACTAGAATGGTATGAATGACATCTTTCATGTTGTCTGATGCCTTACTTAGAACACAGTCATCTTGAAAAGAGGAAGGTCACAGTCCTTTTCTTCAGGCCAAGGTCACCAAGGGATGCACTACTTTTTAATGTGTTAACTTAGAAACAGTGGAAGTGTATTTTACTATAGAATGTAGACACACTGTAATATCCTTCTAGGCTACTTTCTAATCCTTCTGAAGAGGTAGCAAATGCAGCAATATACTGTCATTTCATGAGAGTGCCTGGTGGTAGGACGTATGTTTCAGTTCAGAAAATTTGTCTAAAAAATTTATTCCATACCTACTTTACACTTATGCAGAATTAGAATTCTCCAATGTGCATTACAAGTTACAAAAGAAACCCAGAACCTTGTGCCAAGTCTAACTCAATGAATTTTTCCCTTAAGGTGGTGAATGACCTTGTGTTCAGTGGCTCCAGTGACCAGTCGGTCCACGCCCACAACATTCACGTAAGCCCTGCCGGCGTAAAGAAATCATTAACAGAATGGTGGTTCAAGCTGGAAGGATCCATCAGATCTCTTACAATTTAAATTAAGCCCCTTTCCTAGTGAGAGACTTAGTAATACTTTGCATGTATAAGCTTTTAAACGATAGTGAGCACCCTAGAAATTCTGACTTCGTCAAAGTGTTTCATAGAGGACAGGCTCAAAGTTTATGTAAGGTTTAGTTTGAGTGCCGCATTTAAACTTGAGATAAATTGAGCATCTGAGGTGCTAAGAAAGTGGATATGATACGTAGTTTAAAATAGAACAAACAAAAACAGCCGAGAGACTCTGCTCACGTCATAGAGGCCACTCTGGTGTGCGGGCCCTGGTCTGTGAACCCGGGGGGAGTCTGAGCCCTCGGGGACTTATCCAGACCCAAGGAATGATAACAGTGAAAGTACAGTTGACCCTGAACCACACAGGTTTGTACTGCTTGGCTCCATATATATGTGGGTTTTTTTGTTTTGTTTTGTTTTGTTTTTCAATAAATACCTGTGCTGTTTTTGCTCTGTGATGGTGAGTCCGTGGATGCAGAAGGCTGACTGCATGCGTTATTCTTTGCCATTTTATGTGGGCACCTTCAGCATCCTAGGATTTTGTTATATGCAGGGGATGGAGGTGTGGTCCTAGAACCATTCTTCCATGGGTACTGAGGGACAGCTTAAGTTTTGGGGGAGCCAGGAGTCACAGGCTGCTTTTCAACTGCATGTGTTCACCACTCCTACCCCCTGCATTGTTCCAAGGTCAGCTGTACTTCAAGAGTTGTGACATACACACAGGCAGAACTGCGACCCTTCTCGTCCTGTGGCACCCAGTTCTCTCCATCAGGACACATGGCGTATATTTTGTGTAGGAAACAAGTGCTGGTGGAAGTGCTTCAGCTGTTGAAATCAGTACAGCTACGTGTGTGTACAGATAGCTTTAGAATTACAGAGTCATAAATCTCAAAACAGCCGAGGAAAATAGGAAAGTAGGAAAATATCTTGCAAGTGTGGTGACTCTTTCTCTCCTGACACAGACGGGCGAACTTGTGCGGATCTACAAAGGCCACAGCCACGCAGTGACTGTGGTGACTATCCTGGGGAAGGTGATGGTGACCGCTTGCCTGGACAAATTTGTCCGTGTGTATGAGTTACAGGTAGGATTTAGATTCAGTATTTTGCTTGAATGATTTGGGGAGATTGTCTATTTGGGTTTGATGTTGACTTTTAGATAGTGTGGTGGGGTTAGGGCCCAGGAATCTGCATTCTTCACAAGCACGCTAGATAATTGTGCAGTGGCTGGTTCACGGACAGTACTTTCAGAAGCAGCGCAATGGGGTGATGGTCAGGCTCATGGTGTCAAAATTTAAATGGCTTCTGGACAGTAACTGCAGCCTGTAAAATGCATCTAGTTCTCCTTATGTGCAATTTCAGTTGGAGACTTCGAAGCTACACAGAAATTGGTTGTATTATTTCCAATTAGCAGCTCCTTTCTTGAGGAGGAGGAGGACTTACTAGGAAGATTGCCATTAGAGTATATTTCTGTTAAAATGCTTCTGGTGCTTCAGCTTAGTGCCTCGGGAATAGTTTTAAACCTGCCAAGGGCCTGTGTTTATCAAACACAAGGTGTCAGTAACCTTAATAGTCTTTTTTTGTTTTTTTCCTTCCACCAAAGTCTCACGATCGACTGCAAGTTTATGGCGGACACAAAGACATGATTGTGTGTATGACCATCCATAAAAGCATGGTGAGTGTGGTTTCCCAGGTCACCTGTTTGCCTCTGAATGTATTTACTACAGATTCTGCAAACTGATGGTAATAATGTTATTGCTTGTCACTTCCAAAATTGACATCTGCTTCTGATGTGCCTTGTTACGATTGCCGCTCTGTCTCTCGGCATATTATCAGGATATAACCCACTGATGTTACTGAATATTTTTCTATTAATAACTAAAATAATTATAATAAAAATCTAATACTGCCATTAAGTAGAAGATAAATTTAAAATGTTTAAAAAAATGAGTGGTGCTCTTTCCAGAGACATTATGATCTACACAGAGCATTGAAATAGAGTCAGGAGGTTTGGCCAGTGTGGCACAGTTGTAGCAGACCTAAAAGTAGAAGCTAACTCACTTGAACCCACTAATCCTTGATTTGTTTTATTTTTAAATTATGAGGTTGAACCAGAAGGGATGTTTTTCAGACTCTGAGCAGTAGAACCCCGTGTTCCAATGAAATCCAGATGCCTAATATGTAATGCCGAGGGGAAGCCAGAGCCACCGCAGTTAGAGTGCAGGTGGGCGCCTCAGAGCCCTGCCATCCTGCCGTCAGCCGGGCGCCCATGGGTGGCTCTCCGAGGAGCCCAGCTTCACAGTGTCTAGAGCAGATCTCACGGGGGTGTCCAACCTTCAGTGTCTCTGGGCCACACCGGAAGAAGAGTTGTCTTGGGCCACACATTAAATACACAAACACCAACGAAAACAGAAAAATCTCATCATATTTTAAGCAAAGTTATGATTTTGTGTTGGGCCGCATTCATAGCCACCCTGGGCTGCATGCGGTTCACGGGCCGCAGGGTGGACACCCCTGGACACTTGCCCATTGTTGTACCATGGGGCTGGGGTGGGTTTAGTTTTGTGTTTTCTTAAGTTGCTACAGATAGCTTTTGACTCTCATTTTGAGGATGTTTTGTAGTTTTTTGGTGTGTTTTGGTCTGATGTGATAAACCTCTTCTTCCAGATCTATACGGGCTGTTATGATGGCAGTATTCAGGCTGTGAGGCTAAATCTGATGCAGAATTACCGCTGCTGGGTAAGGAGTGGAACTTCGGAGTTGCTTAATTCTAGGCTGATTTATAGACCTTCCTTGTCATCAGTGGAACACTTTTCTGTTTGAGCATCCACTTTATGCCTTCCACTGTAGAACAAGGAAGCTTATTTTTAAAAACTACATATAAAATACTTCTCTGTATTTCTTTTTTTAAAATATCTTGTTTATTTATTTTTAGAGAAAGGGGAAGGGAGGGAGAAAGAGAGAAATATCAATGTGTGGTTGCCTCTCGTGTGCCCCCTGCTGGGGACCTGGCCTGCAACCCAGGCATGTGCCCTGACTGGGAATTGAACTAGCGACCCTTTGCTTCTCAGTCCCGAGCTCAATCCACTAAGCCACATCAGCCAGGGCTTCTCTATATTTCTTTAATGAAAGTCTATTTATTTTAGGATTGGATATGAGGTATATTTAAATATTCTACACTCAGGTTATCCCTCTGGTGGTTTTTATTTTCTTATTAAATCAGTACATGCTTACAAAAATATCAACAGTGCATAAATACATGAAATTAAGAGTAGAAGTGTTTATTTTTGTGACCTGCCCATCCTATACCCACTCCTTAAGGGTCATACACATTAATAGTTTGGTTTGTGTTCCCATTGGTTTGGGAGAGATGGACAAAAACAAATTTGTATTCTTGAAGTTTAAAACCTCAGATTTCAAGGCTAAATTTCAGTTTTTGTTTTCAGTTGCATGCTAGTGATTAACCCTTAAACTTTTCACTTATTCCTTATAAGCTTTAATTTGTTTTATCAGTTCTAATATTAGTGACCAAAGAAACATTTATGACACTGATTGTTTTCCCCAAACCTCTTTCCAGATTGATGGAATGAGTTTTCCATTTTAACATTTGACGTTAGGCCTGTCCACAGTTGAATTACCTTTCAGCTTTTTATACGTTACTCTTTGCTTTTTAGTTTTGTCGTTGAAGAAAAGCAAATTCTAGTGTAACAGGATGCAGAGCATACAAATGAAGTGTGACTTTATCTAGAGAAATGGGGCCATCTGGTTATAAAACTGGAGAAAGAGAAACATCAATGTGTGGTTGCTTCTTGAGTGTCCCGTACTGGGGGGACCTGGTCTGCAACCCAGACATGTGCCTTGACTGGGAATCAAACCAGCGACCCTTTGGTTCACAGGCCGGCACTCAGTCCACTGAGCCACAGCAGCCAGGGGAAACTCATTTTATGATGGCAAGATAAGGAATAAGTACAATTTAAACTGAATTTTATGGTAACTTGTCTATGAATATTTTTTCTTATGTCTAAAGATGTAATGGTTGGTTACCTTAGTGCTTTGCCTTCTTATAATACCAAAGTGTCAAAAGACTTCACAGTCTTTTCAAGGTTCCTCATCATATTGGTAATTAATTTGGTTGTCTCTGGCTTTGTTTTGCTAGCAAGAACAAATTAAATAGTAGAGGACTTTTTGTTTCCACCAGATTTATGGCGTACAAGCAGGCATGTTCTGACTGCAGGTTTCTGGTGCCCTTGTTAACGTCTTTGTTCTGTTTCTCCCAGTGGCACGGCTGCTCTCTGATATTCGGCGTGGTGGATCATTTAAAGCAACACCTGCTGACTGACCACACAAACCCAAACTTTCAGACTCTGAAATGTCGCTGGAAGAACTGTGATGCTTTCTTCACTGCTAGGAAAGGATCCAAACAGGTACATCAGTGGGGCTCGAGGTCGCCCTGAAGTCATTTCACCTGTGGGAGCAGGGTGCGGAAACCCTTTTTTGCCTAGTTAGAATGTTCAGAGTTGCAGTAGATAGGGAGAGTCTAGGGATTTTTCTTTTTGTTATTATTCAGAGATTTGGGGGGTAGCTTAATGATGTTTCAAATGAAGAATGCCGGGTCCTAACTGCCTTTCATGTGTGGATTGTAGAATGTACCCATGAAGCTCTCCATGTCTTGGATTTTCTCTTGCCCTTCTACCAACTTCTCTCTCATGGGCCCTTTTCCTTTGGTTCCTAGGATGCTGCAGGGCACATTGAACGACATGCCGAGGATGACAGCAAAGTCGATTCGTGAAGTTTTTTGCCTCCCATGTTGGGAAGTCATTCGTTGAACCAATTTCACATTGGCCCCTCACACGGGCCCCTGTCTTCCCTCCCCCGGGGAAGCGGGGTACGGGAAGTGATTCCCAGCCAGGCTTACCTGGAGCACAAGTCTGGGCAGCTCTGTGGGAAGATAGGTTACACTTCAAGTTCTTGCTGGAGGTTTGTCAAATGTAAAGAGGTTTTAAGGAACCATAGTCCTCTGGAACAGCATGGCATTTAGTAATTTATGCTACTATTGTTCTCCAGAAGTTTATTAAAGATGCACACCTTAATTGGTTACCTAATTTGACCCTAATCATATTTTTATTGATTTCAGTTTATGATTGTTAGTTTATGTTCTTATGATGGTTTAAACCTATAGTCAGGCTTTTACATAAGTACCAGTTTGTTCAGATGCTAGATTTTTAGGATCAGTTTTAATTTTTCTAGTTGTAATAATTAGGTATCTAAATTGGAAGCAAATGGTTTCCTTCTTAACAATTATGTTTAGTGTGTTTCGATATTCTCCTGCCTTGTAGATGGACAGAGCTGGCTTTAAATGCTAAAGGGAGACCCAGGAGCTTTCTAGCAGCTGGCGTGACCGCTCTGCCGACTGTGTTGTAGGGACTCAGGCAGCTCCTTACAGACGGGACGGCTCTACCTGATGAGCCTCCTGTGCAAGTTTCACAGGAGTGCTTGGCTCAGGGCGGCACACAGACCCAGTGTCCGCCTTGCAGTGCGGTGGTCAGGCCCGACCTGGGTGCTCCTTGCTGCGGGGACTGAACTAGAAGTGTAGCCTTTATCTCTCTTTCTGGTTTCAGGCTCTCCCAGGCTGCTGAGGGTTTGAAACCTTTTAGTTTGCTCCATTGCCCACCCCATCTCTCCCATTCTCTAGATGGCAGCCAGCAGGTACTTTCCTGGGCTTACAGGATGTTTTCCACTCACCTGCAGCACCTGAGATGGGAGAGTTAGGGTAAAGCATCTGAATTCAGTTTCTAGGGCCTCAGCAGGCTTCTCAGAGACTGATTCTAAAACCTTTGTCCTGCCTTCGCCCCTCCACCAGCTGGGGAAGGAGAGTGGAACCTGGTGACGGTAGAGACTCTACCTGTCCACTGAGAGCAGCCGCATTAACAAAGCCTTAGTGAGACTGCTTTGTTTTTAGATTTTCTCTGGACTCTTAAGGAAAGCAATGGAAGTGTTGCTTTCCATTCTTTTGTTTCCAGATTCACAGAACTCTGAAAGATTCCCCAGAGATAAGAAGGAGGGAGGAGAGCCCAGGGCCACACGGCCAAACTTTGGGACGTGGCACCTACTGTTTCCTAGGATGGCAGAGCATCCAGGTTTCTCTCCACTCCTGTTAGTGAACACACGTCTGCTCACTTGTCCTCTTCACTCTGGCTCTAGGGCAGGGGAGCTTCTCTGGGAATTCACGGGTAGGTTTCAAGAGGGTATGGGAGCCCCCTGAAGTTGTATACAAGACAAAGTATGTGGTCTTTTCTCGAGGGAAGGCTGTAGTGGTTCTTACTGGATCCAAAACATTGAGAACTAATATAGGAGCTACTACTAGCTAATGAAGGCCCCCCAGCTGTTTGCTTTTGTCTTTGTGAGTGGGTAGACTTCTGTTGACTACACTATCTGCTGAGATTTACAGGACACCAGAGAGATCAGAGAGGATGCTGTTGCATAAAGACTCTGTGCTGGTTCTCTGTGAGATCAGGAAGCCTCTCCCTCCTCTCACCCCCATTTCCCGGACAGGCGGCCAGAGGAGCTGGGCTGTTCTGTGGGTTTGGGAATAGCGATTCCCCAGGAAAGTATATTTGGATTCATTGCCAAACCTGGCATTTTTCTCTGGGCTGCAGTGAAGCAGCATTTACAGGTTGGCCGGGCAGTGTGCTAGGAAAGCCTCACGTGCTCTGTTGCATAGTGTCCTTCTGTCCTGCCTGAGGGCGTGCCTGAAACGCAGAGACTGGCGGAGCCTTTGGGGCAGGTGTTGGGCAGTCACCCTGCAGTGGAACCTCTGCAGGTAAAATCAGTAAGAACTGGTTCGGATTTCACTTTGGTGGAATTGTGCACAGTCTGCCTGCCTTTGTGTGTGAATGTTCCTTGTGTGTGCGCATGCAGGGGCACCTGTGCTGTAACGCTTTTCCTCATTTCACAAAACTTGTCTTTGAAGCAGTGGCAATAATGTATTTGTTTCAAGGATGCGTACAGTGTATTTAGCATCAGGTTAGTGTGTTACCCTAAATGCAACGCTCCAGTCCTCTGTTTAGCAATAAATGCACCACGAGCACCTCAGCTGCTTACATATGGTTGTGTATTACTACTTTTAAGTGTCTTGAAAGTTATGCAGAATTTTGGCTGTTTTGATCTTCTACAATGTCTTGACTGGTTCTAGTCCTCTGTTCCGCCTCAGAGAAGAGCTGTGGCTCAGGGATTTGCTTATCTGCACATCTAGTACTTTAAGAAGACGGGAAACTTCCATGACCTGACAAAACCTGACTCATTTATTATAAGGAGTTGGCGGCCATTTTTTAGAATGTTGTTGAGAATTGCGTGTGCCTACTTTGAACGGCTTGAAGCCAAGGAGACAGTAGTGTGAAACCTGTTGTGTACTTATGGTAGTGTCTTAATGGCCGTGTGTTCTGATATGATATCAGTCACTTCGAGTTTTATCCTAAAGTTTTAATTAGGTTTAAAATGTATTTTAGCACAATCCTGTACTCAAGTTATAACAGCAATTAAACATGATGCAAACAAAACTCTAAGAACAAAGAATTATTTTGACCTCGTGTTACTTGAATTGAAGAGAACGTCATTGCCACTCTCCTGCTTTTGTGGGGAGGATTTTTTTCTGTCTCAGAAGAGCCAGCAGTTGAGTGTTTGACCTGCTTATAAGTTACAGGCAATATCATTGCTATTTAAGTAATTATTTGCCTCACAAAGGTTTCTGTTTGTTTGTTTGCTTGTTTTGGGGGGTAGATCATGCAGTGGACAACTTCAGTGGCAAGTATGTGGGTGGTTTGCTGGAAGCAGGTGTACAACACTCAGTGCGGGGGTGTGGTGTGTTTCATGGAAGAGAATTCATTGGAGGGGAGATCAGAGTACATTGTGAAGTGAGATTTGAATTGCACGTTCCCTCTGGTTTGTTCAAATAGCTACAGTTAACATGTGCTGGCTTACAGATTTTGTTTCTGTCACCTAAAGGAGAGCTTTTAGAACTGCTAGGAAGGCCATGCCTGCCACATGGATGAAACAGTGGTTTTGCTCCTGCCCCAGATCCTCAGGGCCCTCAGAATCGCAGAAGGGCCACCTGGTGGCCAGGAACAGAAGCTGTGGTGGGGCGCTGGGGGCTGTACTGGGCTCCCCGTGCAAGGGGGTGTGAGATTCAGGTGTGAACCTGAACTACTCCTTACCAGACAGTAACCTCTCACCTCACCTCCAACTCCCAGTGCGTGGCCCTGCTGGGTCACGTGGCCCCTGAAATTTCCCAGATTTGCTATAAATTCACGGTGGTAGCCCAGTTGGATTAGGGGGGAGGAGAGTCAGGGAGGAAAGGCTGTACTGAAGGTCTTTCTGCTGCTTAAGAGGGATGCGTGCCAGGGAGCTGCCCCAGCACCCCTGGTATTCGAGCTGTTTCTATGGAATGTGGGTTAGAAGAATGAACTCAGATGACATTTGACTGCAAAAATGTTTATAAGCAAATAGCTTATCCTTCTTACATTTTGGTATAAACCTGTGAACTTCATAACTTTGTAAAGCAAGGTATAAAGCAAATACAAGAGGAAAATAAAGTACTTTTATTAATTGTTTACTTTCGTCACCTTATCTGCACATCCCTAGCCCACCTTTTCTTTCCCATGTTGGTATGAAGACTAAAGAAAATGGGTGAAAAACACAAGTGGTTTATAGGTAAGCCACACACCATGGACCAGACAAGTCTGGCAAACCGCTGCATTTGAGGATTTGTTCAAGGTCACATGCAGAGGTCAGTTAGTTAACGGAGGAGCTAGGATTAAAAACTACGTTTTTGCCCCATTACACTTAGATATGTGACCCTCCAGTTACCGGCGGCCCACTTACTCCTGTTGTGTATACCAACAGCTGTTCCCCCCCTTTCCTCAGGTATCATGGACAGTGTCTGAGTGAGTTCTGTGCTCGAGAAACAGCAGTTGGCATGAGGAGAGTGGGACTCGGAGTTTGTGTGTGTGTGTGTGTTGTCCCTTGTCGTGTTCTGAAACTCGGGCTCCCACTACATGACCAGGGAGTGTGCGATTGGAAGCCCCTGAGCCCCGCTGTGGCCAATATGCAAATGTGAGAGAAGAAAACATGGTGGAGCCAGCCATACACATGCCTTTATTTAGGTCAGCGTTTTCCAGAACGCAGCCAAACTTACGGGCCAGACAGCTGAAAGTGCCCAGCTCCCTTTTCTGAGCTTGTGTAGCCCAGCGCGGGCCCATCCTGAAAGTCAGACCCAAGTGCTGCTTCGGTTGCTGTCCCAGTTGCTGTCCCACGGGTGGGACATGGAGAGTGGGGAGAGGGCTCTAACAGAGGAAGTACTGAGTGCCACTGGCAGACGCTCCTGTGAATAGCCTCGGGCACACCAAGGGGGGCACTGGCTTCAGAGCTGAGGCTTCTCACATTCCAAGCAAATCTCCCAGTTGGGCTACAGCTAGCTGAGGCAGACAGACACTTGCCTGTATGCGCAAAGGGACAAAGGTCCTTCACAAAAGGGGCAGTGTGGGCATGACAGATGGACAGATGCCCTCAGGCCGAGTCAGGAGTGAAGTAGGGGAGGAATAAGACCAATGAGGCGTCTGGAGACCTGTTGGGGGTGCAGCTACTGTGACCTTCGAGGCGAGTGGCTCTAGCTACGATGGGTGAAGTTGAAATCCTGAGTGGTCCTGCCCGGCCCTGGCCGAGGCCCGCCTGCTTCAGGCGTACATGGTGAGCTGCAGCCACTGAAAGGAAAGCCGAAGATCAGGCTGCAGGCAAGAAAGGAGACCCCAGCCCTCGGGATCGGACAGGGTAGGGGAGGCACAGGCCCCACCCATATGCCTGGGAAGGCACGTGTTTTCCCGCATAAAGTCCCTTTAGAGACTGAGGACCTTTGGGAGGTACATCCCTCACTGTGCTTCCCTTCGTGATCCTGTCCAATCCCACCCCTCCGTCGGTCGCCATTTGGAGGTGAAGAGCGCACAGAGGGTCCAGTCTGCCTCATTGACTCCTTCAGTGATAGGTCCAGGGGGAGTGTGCTGCTGCTTGCAGGCCTTACCTCTAGAACGTTGAGTTTGATGATACCGTCTCCATCCTTGTCAAACGCATTAAAAGCTCCTGTGTGGGGGAATGAATACAGATGAGGCCACAGTCTCACCCCGCCTCCACTGCTGTAAATTTCTTAGGAGGACCATGTTCTGCCAGGCAGAGCATCACTAGTAGCCCTCCCTCTACCCACCCGTGCTGAGCCTGAAGAGGGCTTTTGCCTTTGTTCACCCCAGAGCAAGTAGGTTGAGGGATGATGCGGCTGAGATTCCCACTGCCACAGCTCTCACTGCGGGAGAGGGGCAGGGGAGCCCCACTTACTGAACATGCCCTCCATCCTGACGAAGCAGCAGATGAAACTGTCGAAGTCAATGTTCATGTACTTGTCTGCGTACCGCATGGTAATGATGTCGTAGAGCTGGCTGTTGAGGTGGAACCCTGTGGAGGGAGCACTTGAGAGGAGGAAGGGGAGCCGCAGTCCTGAGGCCTGCCTGCTATTTCCCTGGCCTCGGGAAAGGCAAAGAGAAGCCCTTTCTCTGGGTGTGGGGCCCCTGGCCTTGTCCTCTCCCCTTCCAGCTCCCGCCAGCTCCGGGCCACATCCCGGCCACGCCCCTTCTGCCTCACCTGCATCATTGACTGCATTTCGCATTTCGTAGCTATTGATGGTGCCAGATTGGTCTGTGTCGTAGTGCTTGAAAATTTTCTGGCAACAGAAAATTTGAGGACAGCAGTTATACACTGAACCCTTGAATCAACCTCCTTCATACCCACACATGTCTCTCCCCACCTGCCAGGCTTTAATCTTCTTCCAGAGGTGATGGAACTCTTGCAGGTTCAGTCTCCCAGAGCCGTCTGTCTGGAGGGAGGTCAGGGCTACAGGGTGCGCACAGCAAAATCCCCCTGGGTCGGGAGGGCGTTTCTAGGGGCCTCTGCAGGGAAGGCAGCCCCACAGGAAGGCTCTGCCCAGGATACCCTATGCAATGTCCTGTACTTAACACCCTGTCCTAGTATTTAACCTTCCCCTCCATGCCTTCCCAAGCAGAGTTACAGTCTATGACTCAGAGATGGTGTCCCAAGGACCACTTCTGCTTGGGCAGGAAAGAGCAGGGGTCAGGGCCTGGTACAACCCAACGGCCTTCCCAACTTGTACCTCCTCCTGTCGCCACTTTCAGACCAGCAGCCAGGAGGTTCTGACTTAGGACCTCCTTAGGTCTTTCCTTGGGTGTGAATTTGGGCCCCTGCGCCTGGCTGGGCACCCCTCACTGTGGCTCTGGCCCCGGCCCCCAACAGAGGGTTGGGAAGGGCGGCGGAAAGGATACATCCATGAGGGCGATCATGCTGCGGCAGGACTCCAGTGTGAAGCCTTGTGTCTTCAGGTCCTTGTCTGGGAGGCAGAGAGGAGTGAGGAACTGCACTGAGGTGACTGACACCCACACCCACACACAGTGGGAGCCACACCCACACACAGTGGGAGCCACTCACGTTTGTTCACAACTGTGTTAAGGATGTTCTTGAGCTCATCAGCACAGATCTCCATGTCCTGAGGAGGAAGGGAGTAGAGTCACAGTTCAAGGGTATGGCAGCTGGCAGAGCAGAGGCTTAGCAAAGTGAATCCCAGCTGTCCGTGTTTGTCAAGTCCCCGCCAGTGCTTTCCTGGCAGAGGGACGCTGGGGCTTTTCTGCGGAAGACAGACATTGTGCCTTCGGCTGCCCAGACTGCAGTGGGCGTCTCGGAGCAAGGAGGCCCCCGCACCACCCAGAGGGGCGTCCGTCTAATTCAAGGGCTGGCCTTGTGGGTGTCTGTGCCACACACGTATGTCCTCCTTTTCCGCCAGAAGCCACAATGGCCTCTACTGAACAAGGGTGAAATAACTGGCCGCTCAAGCAATTCACAAGGGGAGGACATCTTGGAGTCAGGGCTGGAAGTACTCACATCACCCGCTATTTGCCTGAAAATGTTCTGGAAGTGTTGCTGTTCTTCACTCTCCTGGTCGGTGTTGCCTGGCCTCGGCTGTGGAAGCACAAGGAAAACTGGTTCACAGGGATCAGAGAGACGGGCGGGCCCGTGAGGAATGCTCCTTCTAGGCTGAAGGGGCCAGAGCGCCTCACAGCAGCCCTTGGTGGCAGCAGGTGCTGGGGACGGGCAAGTGCCCTTCCTTCCTGGTCAGATCTGGTGCTCTGGAGTGGGAATGACCCAGGTGCCCACAGCCTCTCACGCCGTACCTCCCCAGCCCTACGCTCTAGACAGAGATGCATCAGCCATGCAGGCACGTAGGCAGCCCCTGTGGTCCCTTCCCCCATCCTCACCAGCTGGAGCCCCCTCCCCTGCTGTGAGCCTGACCATCCATCCCAACCAAATGCTTGCGCCCCAGCAGGACAAAGGAGGCCAGGACATTCTGACACCCCCAGCTGCCTCTGCCGTCAAGGCCAAGTCCTCAGAGGACCCCTCTCCCCCGTCCATTGCATGGGCATTCCAGGGGAGAGGGGGTGGCCCTGGGCTTGTCTGTGGACTTTAGTCCCCTTGCCCTACCTCCAGTAATTGTTATGTGACCACCTCTCCCCACTCCAATCTAACACCCTCCTGGAGCTCTGGAGGACTCCATTTCTAATGTTAGCCCCCTTTCCTGCTCCTGCTCTTTCTCCCTCATTGTTAAGAGCTGGAGGCCACCAGAAACAGGAGTTGCTCCTGTTCAGGCCCCTCCCTCCCCTAGTCCAGCAGGGAGGCTCAGCCTGCACTTCCCAGGTGGGGGACTGCCCTGGTGGGACTGCCAATCCCCAAGGAGTTGACTCAAGCAGCATCCGAAATTTCAGGAGAACTTGATGAAAGAAAGGTCAGTGAGGTAAATTGAAACCTCTAGATGGTCAAGGGACACCCCACCCATGCAGCCCCTCCAGCCTGAGCACCCTAGGAGCATAGCTGGCCCCAGTGTGCTGGCCACCCCAATTCATGCCACATGCTCAGAAACCTGCGGGGGTTTCTCTTGCTTATCAGGGCTCGTTTTGTCTTTGCCCTCTTCCGACTCCTGGTCCACACTCAGTTCCTTGTTGCTGTTTGCTCTGTCTGAGACGAAGATGATGGGCTGGGGAGAGGAGGGGAGTGGGGAGGGGGCAGGAAGGAAGCGAGAATTACAGGCTGAGTGGGAACTCTGGAGGCAGCCTCGCCCTAGAGACGCGGGTCCAGTGAAGAGGGAAGGGGCAGGTAGGAGCTCTTGAACCTCAGTTCAAGTTCCGTTTCTGCCACCAACAAACTGTGGGGAAAGTCTCTCTGGACCTCAGTTCCTTACCTCCTCATGATAGAGTTATGCGGGTTAAACCAGCTAGTAAGCACGTGCGAAAATGCTAAGAATGCTAAAAGCAACATGATCTAGTGCAGTGGTTTTCAAATACTTTGTAGACTTTTTTTTTCTAATGGAAACCCAGTTCAAATTAAATTTCCCCAGAAGCCCAGTGTATGTAAAGTCATTAAAATCAGAACTTCCCCGCTTGATGAACAGGGCAGAGCTCTATTCCTTCCGTGCCCCTACGTCGCCATGGCAGCTACTGAGGCACCT